AATTAAAATACGACTACAGCCTATACACACTACGAGTAAATATACGGATCCTCACGCTCCGAAGCCTGGCGAGCAACTGAAGTAGTGTGGACGAAGATTTACGAACACAAGTAAAAACCAGACGAGTCTCCCGACGAGCACAAGCCTGGCAAGCACGATCACGAGCACGAGTAATGTGGACGCGCCTTCAGCAATACTACGAATAAGCGTTTCAGTGGAGAACACTCGCATAAAACACCAAATGCTCTAATGTAGACTTGTTCATGTCTTGCAGAGAGGAAATTTAGTGTGAGTTGCGTGAATACCATAAGAGTAAACACGTCATACTCAACAGAACTGGGGGGGATGAAGCATTGAGCATAGCGGATAAGCTGCTTGGTCCACTAATAATCATATCGTAGTACTTTATTAGATGACGTATTTCGCGGGATTTCAAACTGGAATTTGACTAAGTTTTAAGGATGGAAATTAAGTTGTCATTTGATGTAAAAACAATTAATTACACTGTGTTACGTAAAATTTGCTGATCACAGTGGCCGTGCGATCTAAGACATGAACTGTCTTCGCTTGCTCGAACGCTGGGATCATTGGTTCGAATCCCACTCAAGGCATGGATTTCTGTGTGTGCGTTTATTCTGTTTGTTTTGTCCTGCATATAGGTAGCGGCCTTGCGACGGGCTGATCACTCGTTCAAGGAGTCCTACCGTCTGTGTAAAAATTATTACGAAACTGAAGAAGAGGCCAGGGTCCAACAATGGAGTGTAGAGCCATTGACGAATGAAATTGGGTGAACGTGAAAGGTTGTTAACTAAATTTGGAGAGTTCAATGCAATATTTTCGTTCCCAAAGCTGTGTGCAAGAGGTTAACTTGTCACGCAGCATTAATCATTTGGAAGTTAAATCTTATATTTTTGCATTCGTTAATTATTAGACTATAAACGAACCGAATCGGCAGTTGTGTTTAATATTGTAGTTTTTATTATGACATGACTGTAGTTGGTTAGGAAAGCAGTCGTAATAACAAAACGCTAATCCTCACGCCCGCACCCTTTCCTTGAACGTAGCCGAAAAATACCGATGACAGCCGAACGCTTCTTCTGTTTCCCCACCGACCCCCCACTTCCAGTGTTCGTGGCGAAGTGAACCGAGCGGGTGCTGCAACAACTGGCATAAACCGGTTGGAAGCCGTTCTGGGTCGGTAGTTTACGCCTAGAAAACCTGCAGTTTTATGAAGGCTTGCTGGCAGTGTTATTGCGGATCAGTTCAACTCGTTTGTATTTGGTGGTGTTGTCGGTGCATAACGTAACAGGCTTTGAGTTTTCTTTTAAAGTGACATGTCCATGTAGATTTAACCTTCATGTAACTGGTTGCCAAGCGTATGCAACAGCATTTTTCTCCCTTTTCCTGTCAATGCATCAGGTAAAGGGATTACGTTGAAAGGCATTCTCATTTTTTTATTTATCGTTGTTGCGGCATTGTGTGTGATAGCGAATGAGTGTACAGACTTTGAAACAACGTTTCGGGCTACAGTTAGCACTCGAGTGTGATCCTTTTCTCTCACGCTGTAAGGAACTAAATTTCAACATTTGGGAATGCTGCACGCAGCTGTATTCAAAGCACGTGCTGGGCTCGGTGAAATTTACAAGGCTGGAGTCCGAGAAGACAACTGCTTCGTTCGTCAAGATCTCTACATTAGCTGACAAGCAGCCCCTCCGTCCAGCAGTAAAGAGAAGTGAGCCAAATTTTCAACTTCAGCCACTTCGTCATCATTGTTATAATCACCACTTGAAAAAGAACATCATCAACAAAAACAAAAGACAAACTATCAAGAACAAACAGCATTTAATAGGACTGGACGGACTGTTGCTGTACGAATATTATTTTCCCCTTAAAAATTCCGTCTCCAGTAATTGGCATGCCGTTGCATTCGCAAGGAAGAGGAATCGAAAATTGACTGGAGGGAAGTGCAGGTGCCCCGAAAACCCCACATAAAAGTACCAACTTCAAAACTTTTTTTGCGTATTTTAATGAAATCTATATATTGTTTATACTGCTGACAGTATTAATGCTATATATTACCTTCGTTTTTTGAAGGAGATCCGTTACCTTTCCTGTTTTAGTTCATCTATTAATACAGCTTAACAAATTCAAATTCAGGTTCATAATCTAGACGTTAGAAACAGGTTTGAGTTATTTTGGCAGGTGCTTTGTCAGTGGTTTTGTTTTACCTTTAGTCCTTTCAAGTGTTTCTTCCTTGACTTTGTTTCTACCGGTCCATACTTCTGAATTATCCAAATGTACGAAGTCACCTAGTCAGAAAAGAATATAGAAACTGACGTTCTAAAATTCCAATGTGAAACGTTAACGAAGACGTAGATTCTCATCCGTCAACTTGACGAGTCTCAGTTCCAGCATACATCCAGCAAATATAATACTATAATTATAAAATCTTGATATTTTGTGTGGGGTGAAAGAATTTGTTGATCAGTAATGTTGGTACTAATTAACACCGTGACATTGGCCCACTGTGACTTTGTCGTGAGTGCACGTTTCTATCATGCAATGTCACCAGTTCCTAGTGAACAGCGAATTAATTTGGCACTGCTTGGGAAGAGGGTTGCTGTGACATTCAGAAGACGGCACAGAAGTCAGCAGGGCTCTGGCGACACAAGGCTAGTGTACTATCATAAGCGACCGCGACACCTGCGCTGCCGAGGAGGCTGGAGAGCAATTATTGTGTAAGAACATCTTTCTCCTCTAGCATGCCCAAGCATTTATCTAGATCAGCGCAGTCCTTATTAACTGAAAAACTATAGTAATTCCGTTTATTCTGTTATAATGGAACAAGAACAAGGATTCAAGAAAAGTAGATTCTTATAAATGTATTTAATTAACTAGTTAGTCGCTGGCTTCCCACCGCGGCGGCCCGAGTTCGATCACGGGTCTAGTCAAGTGGGATTTGTGGTGGACAAAGTGGCACTGGGGCAGGTTTTCTCCGAGTACTTAGGTTTCCCTTGCCAATCTTCATTCCACCAATTGCTCCATGATCACCCTCACCTATCATCAGGGGCTGGTACAATAGGCCAGAAGTAGCCGCAGTACAAGGGACTTCATCCCGCCCCACTAACAATAAGGAAAATGAGGCTAACTGAATTAATTTGTATAAATAACAAAATTCCTTTCAATACAGGACCATCATGAACTACTGATAATTATTTAGTTGTTTTGAAACTTCACTGTTAATAAAAAGAGGAAGTTATAATTTTTGTCAGTTAATGTAAAAGCTGCCATTGGATGTTAGCTCGAAAGATCCTTGTTTACTGTATACCTTAAGGAAATGCATCCAGATAGACTGCATATTATGGAACGCTGTCTGTAATAAAACCCAACTTGCATCAAGCTAAAGCTGACACTCCAAAACATTTTGACCATTGCAAAATTTGTAGCCAGACACTGGATATGAGGTTTCACAGCATTGGCTATGTAAAGTACTGTCTTATATAGGATGCAATGCCATTTAGTTTGGTACTTAGTGTACTAATGTTCCAGAGGAATGTACTGCCTACATCTTCAGAGTTGAAGAATGAACCAAGCAGCAAGCACAGTTTACTACACATGGAAAATGTCCGTGGATACAGGTCAGAGTAGTAGCCCAGAGAGGAACCCCTTCAGAGGGCCCCAATCTTATAATCCACACATTTTGTTGGCTCTCTCAGGGTTACAGTCATGGCCTGTATCTGTGTTTCTATGCATGGCTGACTGTTCTTGTTGCTTGTTTCTTGCTTGTCTGTTTGGTTTATTCATTAACCCTGAAGATGGAAGCCAAAGTTTCTCCAGAATGGTTGTTGGCATCTACCAGGCTATAAACAGGGCTGATTAGTGCTGTTTACTCTCACATCCAGGCAGTCCTTTCATATGTTTTAGCTGTGGAGGTGGGAAACTACTGTTACCCCATTCCCTGTAGTAATCGGTAACTGAAGAAGTCATCACAAGAATTGATTTTTTTGCTAAGTTATTGTGTGTAAGTACACACTCAGTTACTTGAACAGATCAAATTGTGAGCTGAAATTACTATTTACAAGTTCATTGTTGTGTTTTTTCAATTATTAGTCTGTTTGTCTTTGATTGTGTCCAGTTGCAGAGGCAAAGTTTGATATAAATTCTGTCCACCTGCTTTATAGTTGTGTATGTCTTTGAGAACATTCTGGTAATTTGTTGCTTTTTACATGTGTGCTTTGTATCACCTATCAGCTGTCTCCGTTAGATTTCTTTGTTATGCTCTTTGGAAACATATGCTTATATGAATTCTAAATGTTTCACTTGAGTCCTTATCTCCTTTATTGCAAACCGAGGCCTGCCTGGGAACGTTAACTATTCATCACGATAACCCAAAGTATGATAAAACCTGTGGTTGCTAATAATTGTTTCTTGCATTACATAATTCATGGACAGTTAAAATTAACTGGTACTGTATTGTTAGCCCTTGCTCCTGCAATGTAAAATCTGTACATTCTTCAAGGAATTTGTAATTATGATTGGTATAATGTGAGGTTGTGCAATGATGAATCCTAGAATTTATGCAAGGAGAATGATAGTAATTGATCAGATATTTTGAAAGTATTGATGTAGAAGTGAATTTCTATATTGTGCTAATGAAGGCTTCACAGTTTGTATCTTTATAAAGAATAATCCTGTTCATTGCATGTCTGCATCAGTGTTGCTTCAAGGATGACTGTGATATGGCAGAGATATTACTTACTACTTGTTTCAGCTGGAGAGTACAGCTCATTTTATCCTGATACTGTTTTCCAAGGCCATCCTATTTTCTCTTCAGTCTAGACATTGATCTTCTGTTTAGAAGGCACTGAAAGGATAAGCAGACTGATAATATTTGACTATGTAAACATGGAGACCATTCTGCATTATGCATGCATGAAGTGTTCGGTATTGAAAAATACATAATGTACTGAACAGAAGCTGTATATTGATCTTCGTTGCAGTGGGAGCCAGCAGAGAGGAGGTCGTGGCACTCCAACAGACAGCAATTCTGTGGCACCTGTGGCCATTGTGACAGCCAAGGAGGAGCGCAACAGCCAGCCAGTAGTGGCTAATTTGGCTGCACTTCCAGCACCAGCTACCAGTGCTGTGTTGCCAGAACCTCAGCCTCTTCAAACTGCTTCTGACTTACCGGTGAGTTGGTCTCTCAAGTACAGTGCTGCTGTAGTTCTCCAATATGCCCTCTTAAAGTTGAGCATAGTCTTCACTATTTTGTGCCAGACATTAAGCTTAGCTTTCCAAATCTCCTTCCATTTATATTCAGTTTTAGTTTGGTGCTGGAACCGAAATTTTGTAGAGACAGTTCACCTTCCTAAGGCATTAGTGTAGTATTTTTCTAGAGGGACTGAAGGAACTCATAAGACACCTCAATTAGGATAGATACTCGGAGTTCAGAATTTGCATGCAGGACTTCCAGAATACAAAGTGCCCAGTTTAAATTTTGTGTAACATATTTGCATCACTGCACAATATTATATGACTTAGCTTTTGACACCATTTATTCCTTGGGCTGGAACTGTTTAATAAATCATGCCCAAATAATGATGTGTCCTGCAAGAAGTCTACAAACATAGTTAATAATAACTTTAAAGAAGTGCAGTTCTAATATTGCAGCTGTTATCTCTTGTTTGTTTTTGATAAAAGCTTTCTTTTGCTGCACAAATATGACTGATGAGGTGACAAGCTTCAAAGTGTGTTACGTTTCATCTGTGATTTGTGAATGAAGACTTCAGTAAAGTAAAATAAGGATGCTGATCTCATAAGCATTAAAAAGGTTCAGTTAACACATCATAGCCATTACAGTCATATCCCAATCAACAGGCGGTGTGATTCTGATAATTAGCTGACGTATTTAGTAATATATTGGGTTTGTTGAGGTTTGGCCAGATTATACTGACTGGGATATTTCTGATTTTCTTCATACCTTTCCAATGCAGGGAGCATATCTTCAGCCACTCTGCAGCTAATTTCCACACACACACAGCTTTTTGTATGTTTGTATTCATTCTCACCTTTGTGTTTCATGACCATCACCTAGATTCGCAATATATTGCGTCTTTGGGGTGGATATAACAAAATTTGTTAACTATCAATTGTTTGCACTTCTTTTAGCCTGATTTCTGGCAAGAAAATAGGCCTGCAGGGCCATGCAGTGGCCTGTGTGACCTCTTCAAGATTGGATCTTAGTAGGAATTATTGGCATTGGGTGCCATCCCAGCACCGTATGTTCTTGAATTGAATTTGAATTTGTTTACATTCCATAAATGTGGTACAGGTTAACATCATAGGATATGGAACAAGTCAAGTATAAATACATAATATCTGTACAATAATAGTTTTGCTTGAAAAGTTAATAAAACTTTAATGCAGTATTTATATTACCATTTTAATTGGATAGATACAGCACAGTCTGCAAATAAACAAAATGATACAGTAACATGCTTGGGAATACACTTCAGCTTAAAGTTGATACTAATTTTTTTTTTATTGCTAGTGGGGTGGGACTAAGTCCCTTGTACTGCGGCCACTTCTGGCCTATTGTACCAGCCCCAGATGATAGGTGAGGGTGATTGTGGAACAATTGGTGGACTGAAGATTGGCAGGGGAAACCGAAGTACTCAGAGAAAACCTGCCTCAGCGCCACTTTGTCCACCACAAATCCCACTTGACCAGACCCGGGATTGAACCTTGGCCACTGCAGTGGGAAGCCAGTGACTAACCGCTTGAGTGATACTAGTTACTCTTTGTATACATTGAAATATTCATCTATGGAGTAGGAGTGAGTAAGTAAGTAATGTTTCAGTGCTGTTTTAAACTGCTTAATATTACCAGTTGCTTTTTTGAGACTTTGAGAGAGGTTATTGAACACTTTGATGCCGAAGGACTGAGCTTCTTTTTGTTATAGAAATAGATTTGCTGAATTATTGCCTCGTATTTATGTTTTGGATGTCAGTATTTAAAATGTACATGCTTTTGTTGTGTACCAAAAATAATAGGACTGAGAGTATGTACTGTGAGTGAAATGGTAATATTTTTTTAATTTTTGAAATAAATCTCTGCAAGAATCTCTATTCTTCGATCCTGTGTTAATTCTAATTACCTTCTTTTGCATTTTGAATATTTTAGTGCTATCTATAGAGTTTCCCCAGAATATTATTCCATATGACAGCAGAGTGAAAGTAGGCATAGTAAACCATTTTCATTACTCCCCGAGATATGTAAAACAAGTACGAGTATATTTAATTTCAATAATTGAATGTTTTTAATAGTGCATACATAAAAATATTGTATAATAACCCAACAGTAATGGGATATTACTGTTCACTGGAAGGTGAATTACCCTTCTTTCATGTGGACTCCACTAGTTGAGGGTTGTGGTTTACTAACATTACCACCACTTGATTTTTCTTTGGGGAGAAACCTGTCTAATATCATTTGTTCTTGTCTATTTTTTAAAATTCCTCTGAAATGTTGCATTGCATTGTCATTAAACAGGTTGATACACCTGTTCACAAATGCGATATTGGGGTGCCACTTCTATACAAGGCATGACAACCACATGATTGTTCAAGTTTAAAAATTGGATTTTCCTCATATTTTTTGTTCAAGTTTCAAGTTGTTCAAACATCAAACCATTCAAAGATCAAGTATCGACTGTATATGCTGAGTGGTTATGATTTTTGTAAAATAATGTAAGCATAGAAGGTTACTTTGATGTAAATTATTGGTAGTGGACAAATGAATACTTCTGGTGTGTTCGGTATTGTCACTGTTTGGGATGAAGATGTGGGGCATAATCATGTGAGGGGCCAAAGCCGTTCAGATGTGTCTGAGCCCCTAGGCATATTGCTGCAGTAGTATGATTAGACCCATGTCATGTTTCTCAGGTTGTGACCAGTCTGCAGTGAATAGAAGAACTTATCAGTTTCTGTTTATTGTGTCTTAGCCATTTATGTTTGGTTCAGTTGGATATATAACACATTAGAGCCCTGTGTCCACATTTTGAAGTACTGTAACTTCCATCCTGTGTGGTCCTACTCACTGTCCCCAATTTTGCTTGCAGGTGTACCTCCAGCCTCTACCCAGTGAAGCCACAGCACAGCAAACTGCACAGTGGCTGCAGTCCAATAGGTTTGGTTCTTATCTACGGGTATTCGCCAGCTTCTCAGGGGCAGACATTTTACGACTCTCCCGTGATGATCTGATTCAGATTTGTGGCCTACCTGATGGAATACGTCTCTTCAATGCTCTGCATTCTAAGTGAGTGTTATTTTCAGATTGGTAATGCAGTACCTAGCAACTGTTGTTCTGACATATTAAAAGAGTACCCAGTAGCCTGAAATGGTAAGAGGACAGTGATTCAAACATGCAAAGAACGTAGGAAAATGCTTTACAAGTCCTTATCATAACTAGTTATTCTGGGATGTTTCTGCTGCTATTGTTTTATGGTTGGATATTTGATTGTTTTATGATACTGTATAGACTGTAGCATTGAGTAGGAGTAGTAATACTAGTATGAATAATGAATTTTTGTATATGGACTGATGCTCCACTGCATGGCTATTAATATACAGACATGAGAGACCTGTTTCACAGTGACCTACTTCATCACCCATTCACAGCTTGTTCCGGTAAAGTTACATGAAATAAAATGTACCATTTTAACATCACCACAGTGATCTCTGTGTCTGTTCTTCTTTTATTTCTGCTTCAGGCTTAATTTAAAATAAGAATGTGCAGTTGCTGTATGGCTGGTTTTTAGTACAGTTCTTCTGTATTTTTGTTCATCAGGGCCATTGTCCCTCGCCTGACACTCTACCTGTGTGTGGAGCAGAGCTCAGTGTACCATGCCCTTTACTTGGACAGCTTGTCTTGTGCTGAGATGGCTAGCAAATTGGCTCAGCTGATGGGCATTACAGCTGATCAGATACATGACATATATATGCAAGGACCTGGAGGAATACATGTCCTTATTACTGATGATGTTGTGCGCAACATCAAGGATGAAGCCATGTTCACCATTGAAATATTGCAAGGTGAGAGAATATCCTCTCTTTTATCCATTTTAGACTTAAGAATGGTCAGTTGTAAAGAATTCGGGCGCCCAATAGCCAAATTGTCAGACGTTGTGTTATAAGTTTATCCCCAGTTAGATGCTAGAAATGTGGAAAATATCAAGCTTCCATAGGAGCGGCAGAATCTGATTCTGGAGTTCTTTCAGCTCAGAGATGGATTCATTTAACCTCTTGGACAGGCAGAGGTCAGAAAGGTCATGAAAACCACAATTATAGGCATTTGCCACCAGCGCAATAAAGGCAACACATGGACCATTAAATGTCAAATTCATGTTTTGTTCTCGGAATATGATTGTATAGGTAAATGTTCATGATATCCTTTGCACTGGAAGGTGAAAGTATTAGCAGTTTCAAGATGCAGCTACTTGCATGTGATTGAAAATGAAGCTATTTAAGTAGTATATGCTGCTTGAATGTACTTCATTAGACAGGAACACATTTATTATCTTGTTTCATTCGCAGCGTGCAAATAATCATTGCTAAATTACTGTGTGGAAGTGAAATAGAACAGTTCTGCATTATATCAACCACAAATTAGGTTTTTGTGATGGCTATTTCTTTGCTTCTTTCCAGTTGTCTGTCACTTATATTCACAGAACTGAGTGTTGCTAAGTATTTGGTGATAAACCGCAGGAATGCTTACAAGTTGATGAACCGATAGCCAAACAGTGCTTTGTATTATAAGTGTAGCAGACTCAGAATGCAAGAGTTACACACCATCACAGAACCACAATTGTTATCTTTATTGTCTGCATGTTGTGTGTCACAGTGTGGTTTTTTGGTTGTCAACACAACGTTTTTTTAAGCAAAACCAATCTAACCTCATGACTCGTGGTACGTGGGTTCAAATACCCAGTGGAGGTCGTCGAATTTTTAAGGGCGGAAAAATTCAGGGAACAAGTCCTCCGGGATGGACTTTAAGCCATGGGTCCCGTGTCGTAGCTTTACGGCACGTAAAAGAACCTCATACCTCCAAAGGAGGTCACTGAGCAAAATTGCGGACGTTTGCCGCCTAACAGCAGTCACTAATACCTCTGGTAGATGGGGGAAGCATTATAGATACTTCTCAGCCAGTAGAGAGCGGTCTCGCTGGCTGGGCAGGACTGATGGTAAGCACCAGTACTGGTAGGATATAGAGACTGGTAGAACTCATAGAGGGAAGCACAATGGACCAATACAGGTCTCAGTGCATGGGGTAACCCACCCTCTCTAATAACTAACTAACTAATATCATTGTACAACTATTGGTTTTATTTTAGCATCTGCTGCATGTTTTGACCCATGTTTGGGTCACCATCAGACAGTTACTTAAATATGTCGCTTGTTATTGAACTGTCTTAATTTGGTTCATATTAGTATTATTTTTAAAATCAGTTGATTCTGTATCTTGTCATAATATGTTGGCATATTCACATGTAGGATGGTATGTGTGACAAAAATGATGGGTTCTAGTTCAGATTATTGGATTTATTAGCACTTGAGTTACACACACACACTCTTAATCACACTTAAATACATGCAATACAGCCATATCACTGATTTACACACTTTCCAGTTCACCATTGCGCACGCACTAGGATCCTCTGTTTACGCTAGTCGTCTCCTACCAGTGGATCTCAACACAGAAACTAGCACTTCAAATCACTCCCAATATTACACATAAATTCTTCCATTCACACTTTAAATTCTCACAGGCCAACCTCCCATATTCTTCTGTAATCCTGGTTCCAGTTCGCTCTGTTCTTGTGATTCCACCGCTACTTTTTCTCTCTTGTAGCTTATGGCAAACTCCTAACTCAGGACTATGTCACCCACTTATATAGCCAAGGGACAGACAGCTCATCATTGTAAACACGTCACATGATCGCTACCCACTACTGCTGTGTGGCGTCACCTCATGCGCAAGGAAACATCACATGACGGCCATGTACTATTGTGTGACGTCACACCACACACATTGCATAGCAACAGTCTGTCTGTAGACATAGAAAACACTGTTCCTGTACTGTTGGCCACATGTGTGTTGTGGGTGCTGTCTAGCAATTTGTTTACATGCCACAGTATTTTGATATTGTCACATCTATGGAGGGTACACATGATGAATGTGTTCTAGATTGGATTTATTGGCATTTTGGTCGCAGTCAGTATAGCACTATAGCTGATGTACACACTTCCCAGTTCACCGTTGTACACACTAGGATTCTCAGTTTCTACTAGTTTTCTACTGGCAACAGACCTGATCAATGGCTAGGCTTTTACAATATCTTCACTGTCCGTTTCCTGGCAACGGATTTAACACAGGAGCTATCACTTCAAATCACTATGAAGTCTTCTTCGACCCAACTCTCAACTCTGTGTACTGTTGTATTCCCATTCTCTTGATTCCCTGTTGTTCCTTCAAACTGGTTTCTTTCATATATGCTGCACAGGCGCTTGTCACAGAAAACGTGTCATGTGTTCATTACGCACTGTTGTGATGTGATGTCATTGCACATGTGCAAGCTGCACAGACACAAAGAAAACATTGCTGCTGTATTGTTGGCCAAGTGTATGTTGCGGGCATTGCCTATCAATGGATTTACATGTTACAGTATTATAATTAACCTTAGGGCTAAAATTATTTAAATTAGTATTTATGTCTTTTTGATACAACATGGGTTTCCATGATGCTTGTCGTATGTTAGAGGGTGGTGATATCTTCTGGGACTGTTGTTACTAGTTCAATATGTATAAATTGCAAATAAGCACATTTCTTGCTATTACAGTCCTTTAATATAGGTATTATAATGATAACAGGTAAAGATGCTGTATCAGTATACATATATATAGTATTGTATAGGCCCATTGCTGGGTAATGATTTTGAAACAAACAGTGAAACATCCGCTAGGGAACAGATCCTTAATAAGCAAACATACACAACCATTATTAGGTAATGCCTTCACAAATGCACACGTTCCCATGGAAACGATTGGAGTACAACAGTGAACTGTATTTCTGAGTGGTCCGTGCCAGGATGTTGTAACCAAGACTGGTTGGTTTGGAAGTTTGTCAGAGTTGTCACAGAGTCGGTTGGCAGTCAGTTGTAAGTCTGTGAAGAGAAGACTTAGTTGGTACAGTTGAAGGTTCCCCACTCTTATGAGCCATTTCCAGAGAATTACTAGTGGAGACTGCAGCAGGCTAACAAGACTTAGCATGTGCTGTAGTGATTTGTAAAGTGTGGGAATCAGCACTGTGGCACTATAATTAAGTGTAGTTACAAGTCTTATGTTAAAGTGGTCAATGACTCCAGTACATATACCCCACAAGAGTGTGTGACAGTATATATATTTTTCCACACCATTGGACCTATTTCAGCCAAATTTGAAATGATAGCAGAGAATCTCCCTGGATAAATTGTAGACACTTGAAAATAATGGTACGGGTATGAAGGGCCAAAGCACAAGATGTTAACTTCCTCAAGGCTTTACTGTACAGAAAGATATCATTACTGTTATGTGGTCAGTGACCAACAGTTGTTAACCAAGCAACAGTCAATTTTTTATGAATTGAATTGTTTTTGGCATTCAGTAATCAACAGTGGTGTGCTGTATAACAATCTGTAGCATTTCCAGAGTAACAGTCAGGGTCATTTGCATGTGGGACAGTATATACAGTTTTGGAAAGTGGGAGGGATTGTTTCAAATACAAGAACATTTCATTACACAAGGACTGCTGATCAACCCAGTGCTAAAAATAAGGAAGTGTTTATTTATTATCTGGCTTCAAAGCAAATGATACCCAGACCTGAATATATAGTGAATAAGAGTAGTTGACTGTTATTCCTTCTTTTATGCTTTAGCTGCTATATATTGTGATATTGGTGAGGAAAACAGCAATTTCTTTGGCAGAGAATGGGTGTTCCACAAGAATGTTAGTGTATCAGTGTAATTAAAACTGTTGATTGTTTTAATTTTCAGATCAGTCAGGAGAGAGATACCGACTCCTGTTGAAACCTGCTTCACGCTGAGACGAAGTCTCAAAAATGAATCGCTCATTGTATTATTCATGCCATCACATTAAAATAAATAAGTTACATTATAATTCCCTTTCTCCCCATAATTTGAGAATAAATGTTATGTCTTAGGAGTACCACATGTTGTGTAGATGAGAAAGAGCATGTGATATAAATAATTACAAGTTATATGAGTCAGAGAAGAATCACATACCAAACTTTATTAATTCTGTGACTGAAGTACTACATTGTTAGAGTTGCATATTTCCAGACTTTGTTGTATTATAATTTTAATTTTGATGTTCGTCTAAGAAACTGCATTGTGACCAAAAAATTGTTCTTTTACTGAGTCAAAACTTCCAAATAAATACAGCTCAGGATAATCATTAACTTGTAAAGTAGTCAAGTTGCATATGCATGAGTAACTGATACATGTTGATTTTCCAAATAATTATGCCTAAAATGAATATCTTTTATGTAAGGTGCATGTACAAGTGATGATTTCAGAATGTCACATCACATGTGTGGAAATATTTACAGAATTTTTGCAGAGCATGAACCTTAGGTTTTGAGTTCTTTGTGAAGGCATGCTGACAGGTAATCTTGGCAGAAGATACTACACATGGCTGCTTCCATTGCTATGTTTATTCTTTTTTCCTGTATTAAAATGCTGTTTGTAAGACACCCAACAAGTATGAAGATGTGGATTTCACTCAGTGGGACTTGCTTTTCTGCACTGAAAAGTAATTAGCAAGAACAGATTAAAATTTTGTAAGATTGAAGTTTCCATGGTGACTGAATATCATGAAGTCTTCTTAGGTGATGAGCATGTCAGTGTGGTGACTGCCCAACATTTTTAAGACTGTTTGCCTCACAGACTAATAATGGAGGCAGAAATGGTCACAGAGATGTTGGAAACTCACTACATACTGATGGCTGCTGGCCTGAGGAGACTTCATAGAGAATAATTTGTCGACTTTGTGAAAAGTAGGCATTGAAGTTTGAAGCTTTTCACAGTCCAGCACATACATTATTTTAACAGGACATACAGAACGTGATGCTTGACCTTCCAAATGGTCTCTGGGTCATAATTTATGTGCACATGTATTTCCCACTCATGTAAATATGACTTCATGAATTTATTGCTTTTGTTGGGGTATGGAAAGAGATTTTGTTATTCATCAGCAGGCATAATATAGAGCAAGCAAGAAAGCAAGGCAAAGTTGAAGTTTAATCAAAATAAAATTGTAATACTGCTTAGATGTTAATGTTATAAATTTATAGTTTTGTTTTGAAGTCTCTGTACTAGTTTCTGTGTTGTATTTTACATGTTTTGCTGAATGTGATTGTTTTTTGTTTTTTTTTTGTTTGTAACTGAAAGTACAATTTATTTTTCAGGTTATTGCCAAAATTAATGGTTGCTTATACTTAGTATTGCTCATTTGTACACAGAGGCAGAAGAGATAGTGTCAGATGCTTTTTGAAATTTGTCGCTATTAAAGCCAATTTAATTTTTTCAAGAAGAAATACTTTAGTAAATAAGATCTAAAAGTTTGTGACATTGGTATATTAATAGAGTTATTGACTTTCTGGACATTATCCATGTCCAAAATGTTCATAATTGTGTACATGTCTTGGTGAAAGAAAGTATAGGACATTAGGTTCTCACAGCAGTGACTCTGGAGAATACTGTATTCTGGGTTGTAATGCTATGTACTCATTGAGAAGTTCACCAATATTTTGGAGGAACATTCTGCCTTCATCTGAGAAGCAAACCAAGCAGAAGTGCCTGCTTCTTGCTGTCTACTTTCATAGCATACTCTTTGACCCTGAAAATGAAGGCAGTCTGTTCATCTGAAATGTTGGTGAACTTCTATCAGCTACACAGAATTGAATTCCAGTACACTTGGTAAGAAAGTGTAATTCCTGTACCTTGATTTGGTGTTTATACTCAGTACACTTTCTTATGCAGGCACTGTTAATCATAGCCTCTTCATTTTCTAAATCACATCAGGCTGTGTAAGTAGATATTGAAACCAAACACAATGAACCTACTGTTGGAGAATGTAAACGTAAGAGTCATATAGTAGAGAAATACTTCTCTTCTAACAGAGGTATTTATTCTAAATTTGTCAGAACTGTGTTATAATTAAAGAGGTTGTTGGCAAGGGGCATGAGTTCAAGAAAGTAAATTTTACTGGACAGACAAAAAGTGAACATATTGAAACAGAACTTCCCAAGAACTTCAAGATTAAGGGGACTGTTTACTTAACCTCACCCATGCTGTTCTTAATTATAACTGTATAGCTCCTAAATCACACTTCAAATTTGGGACTTGTGATCATGTCCAAGAAAATGATTGTTTGGAATCAGTCTCATTACAACAAATTTACCTTTAAAAAATATTCTTTATGTTAGAGCTTCTCTACATGCTTGGATTCAGAGGCACTCTACAAACATGTAAGTCAGTAAGTAAGGCCACACAGGCTGCAACAGTTCAGACTCAAGGTCTTTACAAATAGAACACATTAGATGGTTCGTAACTAGTACAGTGGAACTTTGGAATCATCCCATTTTCTCGTGTAGTACAGGAATGTAATGTGTATTTAATTCAGTTTCACCAAAATATAATTTAATCATGCCTTTTTCAAAATGACCTCAGTGGTTCTCTTCAGATAATGTTTATAAGTGATGTGCAGTGTACATATTGATTTCATCATGTATGGAAGAGTGTTAGCAGAAAGTAGTATGTGACTTCTTGTATTTTACATTATATGGTTACTTTTGATTTGCTGAGATGAAATGCCAATTTGGCTGGGACATGTTCGAGTACCACTGTTTCCTTTCCACCCCTTTGCACCCCTTTAATTATATTTTTGTTATTCTGTCAGTGCCATGGAAGGAACAGTTCTGCCACACAGAAAGGCAAACAGCATTATGGACAAAATTATTATGTCACATGTAGAGTATTGTAGGATTAAGGTTTTTGAGAAATTCAAGAAGGAAAAACGAAATGGTGTATTAAATGAAAATAGAGTTTTAAAGGTGAAATGAAAAGATAATGTACTTGGATAGAAATTCAGCAAATTTCCTGATCTTATAGTGTGGAAAATATTGACCAGTAGTGAATTACAAGTGTTTGATTTATCAGATTTACTTTGTCGTGTTAGATTTCAGTTTGCTGGAGTAAAATGTGATAATCGATTGAATTGAAATTAAATATGTGATTCTACTTGTCAGTTTAATTTCCTACACTCAGTTCATACCAGCATAACACAGTAATCCAACTTTAAGAACCTCTAATTACCATTGTAATATGCAGGTGATAGGTGATGTTGGTGTCTCCTGTTTTGTAGTTCGTAGTAATTATACATATGTAAAGTAATCTGCATCATGCCTCATAGTTGATATTTATGAATGAAGTAAGTTCTCTGAGTTACGGTTCGTAGGTAGGTGGAAAACCACCTCTGAATTTTGAATAGTATAATTGACCATGAATTTATAGTCATGTTGAATATACTGAGTTAGTGAAGTGGAATGTACCAGAGTAGTATATGTTGCTTATATTAAGAATATTTGTTATTGATGTATAGGTAGATTTTGTCACATCTTAATTATTGGCTTTACAGGAAACAGCTTCATTTAATAATGGTTGTAATGAGAGTACTGTAAATCACCACCAAGTCTTTAACATTTTTTTATACCCAGAGTAGTGATGCAAATGAGTTAACCCCTCATAGGACAGTAGTAACTATGTGTATTGCTCACTTTGGTGTTAAATAATAGACATTTTGTCTTCTGGAGATTATATATGGTGTTCACTTGGTTCCCAAAGCAAACTGAAATCGTTTTGCTAAGCAGTAGTAACTGGCTGATCATTGTAATGAGATATGTGTTTTTCTTGGATGTAGGAACCAACTTTTAAAAGATATAATAAGCTCTGCCTTAAAAATAGCTGAATTGTGGTAGAACGTGGACTGTCTTAAGCACAGTAATTTGAAGGTGTTAGGATTGCCTCCAGTCCAGAAGTTTTTCTGCATTCAGATGTTGTGGTTGTAGAGTGACCCAGTATGTTTCAAGACAAATTTTATGCTGTAATGCTCCCGTCTTACATTTTAAGGTTACAGTTGTGGATGCCCAAATAAGATGGTCCAAATGCTATGTATAATGCTTTTAACACACACACACAGTGAGTTTATGTTAGTTTTATTCCTGGAAGAATTTCCATTACTCCCATTTGCTTCATTTAAAGTAAGGTAGCTTGTGAACTGTTTACTTTAGAAGTAGGAACGTTAGCTGCTGCTTTTTCACATCTCACAGACATTAATATTTTTAATACTCCATGAACGTAGGAGCTTTTAAAATATTTTTCTCGTGTTTATTTTGCATTAAGATTAATGCAGATCTTTTTCCACATTAGTATTGTATATAAATTATAAGCTTTGCTCAGCATTTGATGTCAATTACTAACATTAATATAGTTTTGCTAGGATGTTTGTCTTCTTCATCTGGAGCTCCAAGCTCTGGTGTGATAATTGGAGCTTCTTGTAAGTCAAGTTGGTATGAGAATCACTACTAATATATTTTCAACATTTTATCTTTTGTATGGTAAACACTCGTTTTGTTTTCTTTTTTAAGTCTATAAACAGTTAAGCATATATAATATATAGTTTGTATAGGACAGTGTTAAATGTCTATAATATATAGTTTGTGTAAGTCTGTGTTAGACATTCAGTGGATAAGAGAAGCCACTAAGAGAAAAGTTTTATTGTCAGTTTTTATAAATCACTTTGTGCCTGAGAATAATGATCCATAAGCCAGAGTAACTTAATGCCTGAAGGACTTGAAATTACTGCGGACTTTTCTGTAAATTTTTGCAGTTGCATGATCAGGGAAACCTTGGAATTATTGTCTTATCAGACCATGTCTGTTACAAAATTATGAAAATAACTGTGATGTAGATCATCATGGTTATCGTACAGGAGTCACCGTCCTCGTGGTCATTCTTATTTTAGGATATATGAACTTAATTTCAGTACTGAACTCCTTCATGGCTTAGTGTGAATTGTAGTTTTATGTCTTTGCATTGACTTTACAGTGCTTTTATTTTGCAGTATCATGCATAATGCTAAGTGGAGTCTTTTTAATCTTACATTGAACCAAAACTACCACAGTAATGAACATTCTTAGATATTGGGATTGCTTTTTTTTTTTTCTGTAAATTCAGGAAGTTTTGTTTGAATGAACACTTATTTTATGTGTTTTTAATATGCCATAATAGAGAATATATTTACATACATATTATATAGTTGGGAATACCCAGTTAATCAGCTGAAATATTAACTGTTTATGTTTTTTCCTTGTCTGCGACTTGTTTAGAGGCAAGAAAGGGAAATGTATGAAATATAATTTCAGAGTTTATTGAAAGATGTAAACAGTATGTTCTTAGAACTTAGCTTGTAGGGTGCAAATTATGTTAAGGAAATTTGAAAAAGTTTGAAGACTAATATCCCAAAGAAATGTACAGAATTTACACTCATAAAGATTAAGACACAGCTTGTGTTTGTGAAGGATGTATATCCATAGCAGAATGTAGGCAAGAACCCCGATTAAACATAAATAGCTGATTTTCAAGCCAGCACAAGACATATTTCCTTCTTTCTAATATATGTGGTAACTTGGGAGTGGGAGAAGCAGTGATGCAAGTCTCCATCCTGCATTTTAACATTTCATCAGACAAAGTAATTTATATTGGTTAAATGTTCAAACATATAATGTTCATGAAGAAAGCAGTTTTCTGGGATGTGGCACTGTACACGGTGCCACATCCCAAAAAACCGCTTTCTTCATAGTCACCACTGTGAAAACCTAAAATCTTACATATAATGTTCAATTTTCTATGTAACTATGTAACCAGTAGTACCACAAAAGTGTGGAAAATTGATAAGAAAATCCATTTTCATACTACCTCAAATCAGTTTCATGATCATACTGGTTTTTCACTGTGGCATTGCTTCCAGGACCTACTTGCACTGTTGTAAGATAGGCTGATGAATTATTCAGATAAGTAAATTGTAATGAATTGATGTAATTGGTTTTTAATTAGTTGAGGTAATGTTACGAAAAAGTAAAAATGTTGACACAAAATGTAATGAGATATGTGCAGTCTCATGCCTATGAATGAGAGATGTGCAGGCTCATGCCAATGTCGTGGTCACATCATATACAGGTATGATCGACCATTATATGCCATTTGTAAGCCATTCCAGAATATAATGTTGACCACATCTGTCCAATTGCTCTGGAAACTCTTATGACGTTTGCCTTTACCTCACGTTCAGCACAAATGAAGGATGCAAGCAAATAGGAGTGTCCTTTGTATGGAAATCTATCTCGGTTGAAATATCCAAGGAACTGAACATTCGTTGAATTTGTGATCAAATAGCTCTTCTCAGGTTGAACAACCATTCCAAATTTCTCCAAAGTACTTCTCCTATATTTTCTAAATTCATGATTCCTTCACCAATAATAAAAGAGTCAACTCCCAGGTACATTTCGGCTACAGGGAAATGTCCAGTTGTATGATATAAAACATGTCTCATTACAATTGTGTTTGCATTTGAGTGAGTGATGTTAATAAACATTGATCCTGATGGCACACCTCCTTTCTTTCTGAATCTCTCACGGATGTGTTGATGAAATATTTCACCAGCGCTCAGATGCGTTGTTTATTCCATACTGGTTTCACTGTCCAGGTTTTGCCATCGGATCCAAAGAACTTAGTCAAATCAAATGAGTTGAAAATTATCTTAAAATCATCGTGAATGAGCCAAGGTGGAATGCTCTTGTCGAATTCTTGATAGTCGACCATTAAATACTAGTGATTCCGATGTATTCGACACGTCTTTTTTATGTACGCCATTCCTCCTGTTGCCATCTCAGTGTGGTAGGCTATCAGTGCATCTTGAGTTTCCAACCGTTTAGTATATGGATGAAAGAACCGAAATTCTTCAACTATCACATCAAGTGGTATTCCCGAAACTGCTCTGATCTTATTCTTTCCTGGGGTTGTTATCTGGGAACAGAAATACGCACGTCTGGGAACCCAAAGCCTTGTCGCCCATTACCAATGACTTCCCATTGTCTGTAGATTGATCCACGAACTTTTGGATATGCAAGAGCTTCTCCTTTCATCTTAAAGCCCTTCTCCCTCCAGGGTAATCCACAGGATTTATCTTTTGAAAAGTTTCGGTTTTCTGTTGCTCCACCAATCGTCAGAGGAACAAGTTTCTCTTTCGCTGTAAAGTCATCTGCTGTGCTTTGCATTACTACTAGGTACTGTTAGTTCCGCGGAACTCTAGCCATGGTAGAGGGGTCATACCATCTCTCACGGACCGAGGGGGGGCAGCGTTATCAGCTTATGTCAGCATGGGTACTACCAGTTTGGAATGTAGCATCTTGGAGTGTGGTCAGGTGTATAGTACAATGTGTTGCTTGTTAGTTGGTCTCTGTAGGCAATGTTTTCCACTTGGGGAATAGATCTGAACATCACCACAGCAAGCATACAGCTTCATGTGCTCCACAACAGCGTTTACCTTTCCGCGCAGCTAAAGCTATGAGGCACTAACTATAGGTAGGGTCATGGCGAACCGTTGCAGGAGCATACTTCCTGTCATACTTCATTAAGTCTTCTTTAACTGCCTAAGCTGAGGAAACGAATCTTACATATTTGTCCATGACATTATCCACAAATCTTCGACCAAAGTAAAGATTGGTGTAAGAACAAGTGACTTTGTGTAGACCACGTTGAACCCCTCCTTTCTTTCAAGCTTCTCCATGTTTCCTTTGGCTCCAAATGCAGCCATTTGAAACCAACCAACCATCCAACCATATGCAATCTCATAATATTTGGGCCTTTGGTGTTATAGGTATCTCATTTGTGAACAAGGCAATGCAGCTCAATAAGACTGATGAGTCTGTTGCTATACTTGAAGAGGATGCAATGTAAAACGCTTTTTAAAATCAGTGCAGAACACGGTCCTTCTAAAGTGTTCAGAAACTTTTCCATTTTATACAAAATTGATTTTCAATTGAAGACCTGTATTATCCTTTATGATATATTAATGAATTACTCCATATCACAGCAAAGAGTAAATTGTGAAACTGTGGGTGAAATGAGAATTTGTTTCAGCATGACCGTGTTGCTTTCCTTCTTAACTCTTATTTATCTTGATTTTGTACAAGAGGAGCTGTAGTTTGATGTGAATGCCAGAGAAAGTCATTTGACTGCCTGAGTATTTGGGTCAGGTTTCAAAATTAAAATTAGTAATTATTTCATAGAACTGAAGAAAATTTTCATACATTCCTCTCTCCATGTAGTAATTCGTTTATACATATTGAAGTGGAAATTTCTGTGTAGGCTTTTAAAAATATATTCACTTGTAGTAATTGGCCTTGTATCACAGAATGTATGTTGGAAATACGAATATATTTCAACTGCCCGTTTCAGAATGTGTCTTATTTTATTCTAAAATACAGTCAACCCTTCAAGTATATGTGCATGTACTTCTTACCTTCAGGTTATCCATTAACAGATCAGTAGCTTGCTGTATAAGCAAAGTATATAGATATTGTCATGTATCCTAGGTAGTGCGAAGAGAAATTAATGGGTTCTGGATTAGGCGAAGCTATTTATTGGGTAAGTCATTTACATTTACAATCACTCTGAAGTAACATCTTCTAGATAGTGCAACATGACTAGTCTCTTGTCTTCTGGTTCTTAGCTGGGTTTCTTCTGCTGTGTTAGCCTTTGTTCTGATCTCTTATATTCCCTTCTGATGAAGGGCTCTCCTGAGAGGAGCTGGTCCATTTCTGTAACTGTTTATAAAATGGAATAACAATTTTGAATAAGAAGTCCTGAAGAAAATTAGCATAAATAATATATTCCTTAGATCCTACATATTATTTATCCTTAAGACATTTTCATTCAACAAGACAGTACTGAAATAACTTATTTTATACATTGATAAGAAAACCCTTTAATATTGTGCCATGTCTGCTGAAAGCCAGAATAGTGTAAGAAGAGACATCAGAATTCTTCAACCTTTCCAAGGATCAAGCACAGTATTAAAAAAAAAGTACAAAGTAAAGCTATCCCTGTAACAGGCCATGAAGGCCCATAGGGTTGTGAGACATTAAGGGTCCCACATTACCTTGACAGTCGGCTGAAAGATGGTGGTAAGGTTGTCAGGCTTACGCGCCGGCCACACTTCACTCCCAAGGAAAATTATTTAATTAATTCCTGGTACTCATTTCTGTTAGAGGCTGAGTAGACCCCAGGGTCACTTTTAATTTATTGATGTAGTGGCTTCATTATTTGTTGCTTAATTATTGTCACTTCTATTAAGATTGTAATTTAATTCCTGTGGCAGTGATTACACTGATTCAGTTTCCTAACTGTAAATAGCCAATTACAGGGGAGCACAATTAAATGTACGCAAAACTGAAGACCTGTTTTAGAACTCATAAAGGCCACTTTCCTGTTATATAATTCTAGCCCTAGAACTCGTGTGTTGTGAATAAACTATTGTTAACTCATAGTCCAAGGAAGAAATAGTTTAACCCATGTCTGCATTAAGTTTATTCATCATAACCCCACAATGTAGCACTTGCATGGTGCAGGTTTGTGGTGTTTACTGATGAATTATTTCTAGGTTCTGAGACAAAATGTTATACTCTTACATGGCCAGGAATATTTGAGATATTCTGCACTATTGATTTTGCTAGAATGCTGCGTAGGAAATACATGTGCAGCAGACATTTCTCAGAAAGTGATTTCACTACAGCTGCAAGGGTACACCTGACCAGACTGGCGGTTTCATGTGGCTTAGATTCTGCTGCACAGTCACTCCCACAATCTCTGACCTTTCAATCCCTTGCCTTCAGTTATACCTCCTTAAGATGATCTTCATATCCTACATCTTGCGAGAACCTACAGCAAGACACTGGTGCCCTCTGCTGTAACACCTATTCCTATCCATGAAGACAGTCCTTCCACTTCCTTTCATTTCTGCAGTCCAACCATCACCAACAGCAGCTAAAACCTTTATAGTGACACTCTGTAAATATAAATGCTTCTGATAGGGAACTTGGGCATATCAATGGTCAGAGTTCTTCCTCAAAGCCTAGAGCAAGGCGTTCTCTATTAGAAGAACTTAATTTTGCTTCGCTTTCAGAATTGACACTGAGGAAAAGAAAAACTGTATGAGTGCACTTCATGGACTCAAAAGGAAATATAAAGGAAAGAAGTTGAAAAAACTTTGTGATGGGACAGTGTTCCACTGATGGAGAATCTTTCATTTTTCTGTTTAGAAGCTGCCTGAATTTTGGCAACAATTTTTAAGAAAAGTAGACAGAGGCCTGAGGCCAGGAGGTGTAATTTTGTTGGAAAAAGTGTTTACTCTGTCCCTTCTTAAACATAGCCCCAAATCCTATATGCTTCTCTATACAATACTCTGCCTCCCATCCAGATGATCCCTGTAATCCATCTAAATACTGTACCATTTAGGACAGGCATCAATGCTCACGTGTTCTGTGCACTTTGGCACTGTGCACAGAAAATGTCTGGTAGAGATCCACGTTTCGTGTTTAATGAAATGTCAGTCAGAGAGAAGTTAACATTTCGATCAGAAGTTTGAGTGCAGTGAGGGTTTTGAGGATTGTGGAAGTCAGGCAGGACATGCAACATTGCAAATCATGCTGTAGTTTTCATGATTCTTGGCCTATGTAGAAAGTGGAAGGAACCAGTGGCTTACTATTTTACTCATGGAAGCACTAATGCAGAGGTGATTGTGCAATACTTGAAGGAGGTTCTCGATGCCTATCAAAATACTGGACTGAAAGTCATTGCCACTGACATGGGTGCCATTATTGTTAAGGCCTTGAAACTGTTGGGAGCTACTAAAAAGAAACTACTCTTTAGATTTCATATTTAAGAAATGGCAAAAGTATACAACCCTCCCCACTGCCTGAGGTGTACCTGCAAGCTATTCTTGAAACATGATGTGCAGTTGAAGTCTGAGCATCTGGACAGCCAAGTTCCTGTTATTGCTAAGTGGGAACACACAATGAAATTGTATGAATTCGAAAACCCCAGACCGTTCACCAATTGTACAAGCTGAGAGACCCACCTCTACTCCACTGCACAGAACACCATGAAAGTGAGCTTGGCTGTACAAGTTATAAATATACTGTTGCAGCAAGCCTCAGTTGTTTAGTGGCCACAGGTAAGGATCACTGCGCTGTATACTATGAACTATACGTTGTCTGATAATAAAGTTTGTGAACTCATCATGGTAAAAGTGCTACACACCTCATTGCTGAGTATCACTATGGTTACCTTCAAAATACTCCCCTTGGGTAGCTGTGCACTGATGCCAGCAACTAGTCCTCCCTTCAAAACAATTTTGGATGTCATCAGGGTCATCAAAAGGCTTTCCGTTCGTATTTCCTTCATCATCAGGAACAGAAAAAAGTGATTGGGGGCTGGATCTGGTGAATAGGGCAAGTGTTCCAGCAGGGTTATTTGTTTACTAGCTAGAAACTCCCCCACAGTGTTGTTATCTGGTGAGTTCCTTTGGGACCATTTTTGCACACACCTTCCTCATGTCAAGATATTCAGTTAAGATTTTCCTAACTGTTTCTCTGTTGATGTTCGCTTGCTCTGTTATGCTCCTGACAGCCAATGATTTCCACATACAATTTGACGAAATTTTGCAATGTTTTCTTCAGTTCTGCTTGTTGCTGGGTGTCCAGAACTCTCTTCCTTCAGGAAAACGTGTCACCCACTTGTAAACTGCTGTTTTCTTCATAGCATTATGTACTAGCATCTTTTTGATTTCACTTCCACTCTTGCCAAGTTGGACAAGATATTTAATGTTTGTTCTGACATTTTTGCAACGGCACAGAGAAACACACTCAGACAATTATAGACGCCACTTCGAAAGAGACTGACATAGATCAACAATAACACAGCTGTGAAACTTTGATATGCCAATGTCATCAAATCATTTTTGCTTAGTGGGGGGTGGAGTCCAGCTGGGTCCACTCTTCACGGCGGCCACTGATTGGCCTATCGTACCTACCCCGGGTGATTATGATGGAGAATTTGGTGGAATGAAGATTGGCAGGGGAAACCGAAGTACTATGAGAAAACCCTTCCCAGCGCCACTTTTTGTCCACCACAAATCCCACTTGACCAGACCCGGACTCGAACCAGGGCCGCCACAGTGGGAAGCCAGCGACTAACCGCTTGAGCTATGGCACGGCCTTCATCTAACCATCATCATCATCATCATCATCACTGGCATGACAACCCTTTATGAGCCCTGGCCTTTCTCAGGATCACTTGCCATTCTTCTCCATTCAATGCTACATTCCTCCAGTTCTTTACACCCAAAATTCTTATGTCCTGCCACACACATTCTTCCCATCTTAATCTTGGTCTTCAAATTCTATTTCCTTCTGGTTTAGTATTAAGTATTTTCTTAATTGTTCTATTCTCGCTGGCGCGTATTATGTGTCCAGCCCATTCAAGCCTCTTCACCTTTATAAATCCAATAATGTCTGGTTCATTAAATAGTTTGTATAGCTCATGGTTATACCTCTTCCTCCATATTCAGTTTTCTTCCACTGGTCCAAAGATATATCTCAAGATCCTCCTTTCAAATATCTTGATCTTGATATACCGATCTTGACAGTGGCCAGGTCTCAGAGGCATAAGATAGCACTGATCTTGTCATCTAACCATACTGAGGTTTCTGTCCACTGCTGCCATGGCAAGCACATGGTGAGTTCACAAACTTTATTGTCAGATCTCGTATTCTGTTATGAAAGAAGTGGCTGATGAGAATAATGAGGGCTAGTTTTCTAAGTTATTGTCCCCAGAACCAAGTTGTTCTCAAGCAGACATTACTAAGGGGAATAGTTAATGCCCCTTGGTACACCCATAATAGTGTCATCCACAAGGATCTTGGCATTAGGATGGTCACAGCCAAAATTAAAAGGATAGCTAAGAAGCACAAAGATCGGCTTCACCACCACAGCAACTTGGAATCCATACAGCTTCTTGACAACGAGAGGACAGTGAGAAGGCTCAAGAGACTCAAGCCCATTGTACTAGTTTGAACTAGTGTAGTGCTAGTGTGCATTACTATAAATAGTGATACAAGTGCGACAACAGCGTGCTCAAGACACCAGATGCTGGGACACACTGGTGGGCATAGTCTCAGAGTTTAGTTCTAGTAGTAGTAGTTTATGTGAGAATAAAAATGCTCATTAGTCCTGGACTAATTGCATTGTTAGGACATAAAAAAAATAGTGAGAAACGTCCTCCATATGGATATGAGTGACGTGATATTAAACTTATTAATAAAAAGTAGTAAGAACCTCAAGAGAACAGGGGTGAAAAATTATTTGTTGGTATTCTGTGAGTGACTGTTCCCTAGGTGCTTTCTTCGTTCATCACCGTGTTCACAAGAGCCCTCTACTGGTCCCTATCCTGAGCCAGATCTATCCAATCCATACCATCCCATCCTATCTCTCTGTTATTATTATTATTGGAGGGTGTGGGTTTCCCCATGCACTGCGACTAATAGTCTATTGTACGTCCCCCTTTGATATTCTACCAATCTCCATACCCTGCCGGTACTGGTGCTCGCTATCAGCCCCGTTCAGCCAGCGAGGCTGGCTGCGGTACCCGATGCTTCCCCATCTACCGGAGGCATTGGAAACTACTTGGGCGGCGACCTTTTTACCTAATTTAGCTCAGAGGTCTCCTAGAGACATGAGGATCTTTTACGTGCCGTAAATCTACGACACGGGACCCACGGCTTAAAGTCCCTCCCGGAGGACTTGTTCCCTGAATTTTTCCGCCCCTAAAAATTTCACGACCTCCGCCGCTTATCCTATCTCTCTAAGATCCATTCTAATATTATCCACCCACCTACGCCTTGGTCTTCCCTGTGGTAACTTTCCTTCTGGCTTTCCCAACAATATCCTATACGCATTCCTCGTTTCTCCCATTCGTGCTACATGACCTGCCTCCTCATCCTCTTGGTATGACAGCATACCTTTTTACCGATCCTATTCTCGGCACTGGCGGCATCTGATTTGCCTCCGCGAATAGATGGCTGCAATAATTCTTTCGTTTTGCCGGATTCGCATTTCCAAGGCTCAGTTTGTGTTTTGTGCAATTATTTTTCACAGCAAAAGAAATCACTACGACTATGCCGCCAGCCAATAACGTTTAGTTTACAAGGGCCCAAGGCCTGCGTAATCAGCCAGAGCAAACAGCTGATGAGAAATCGTTTAGGAGGAGAAAGTATTTGTTTGTGTAAATAATTCGTTAATATAGCCGTTATGACTGTCTGCGAAGGAAATTGTCTGTAGTCTTATAACGGTAACAGTGAAGGAATCTGGCTTTCACATTCCACATTGCGATATGTAAGTACAATGGTGTTTTGTTAAATTTTTCGGGCTTGTAACTGTACACAATACTTGCATATTACAAGGAAGTGGACGAGAACCAAACAGGTTAAAAAATAAAATGTCGATTTTAGTTTGTAATATTTTAAAACATAGGATTTATGTTACACGTTCTTCAGTCTCCGAAATGCCGTCAGATATTTCAATAATCGAATTTATGTGCAGTCAGTGGTAGTAGTTCGTCAAGTAAACACGAAGCTTCCTGGTATATCCATGGGGCAGATATGTAGTGTAAGGCTGATTCAGAATGGAGAATCACAAATTTTTGGTGATAAGACTGTAAATCTGAAGATTACTGCCTCTGCTTATCCTCTTGTTTCCCAATTAAATCCTCTTATCTGTCTTACGACGTTTGTCAGTAGAATGAATTGTCAATGGTGGTTGTTTAATTTGTTTTACAGTTACCTGTTTTCTAATTCTGTGAGCTATAAATAAAGCATATTGTATTTAGAGGGAAGTTCGTCTCACCTTAATGGGTTTATAGGTTAAATTATGTTCAGCTTGTGCCAGTGTTGAACATTTTCCTGGAAAACTCGTAATATGTTCTGCATGGGAGACGAAGGTTTCAGGCTTCAAATATCTGAAAAATAATGTTATTGTTTGACTATGTAAAATTTTTATGCCACGAATGCATTCATAATAACAAAGAATATTTCTACCATCTGCTGAAATCTGAGTAGGTTTTATTAGTAATTTCTTAGATTATATGCTTGTTAATTCTGTAAGTTTTCCAGATCTCTGTGGCTCACTAAATGGGAGTGTCAGACTCTTACAAGTTGACGTCCAGATGATTTGTGGGAACTTTCAGATGACAGCACTGTACTGTAGACTGTGCAAGGAATGTTATTGTAAGAGGCGATGCAGGAGAAAGGGAGTGACCAAATCAGTTGCTCATAAAGCACCATATTCATATTTTTTGACAGGAATACTATCATAAGTAAACCTAACCTAACCTTACCTTACCTTACCTTACCTTACTTAACCTTTCACTTTCACTTTATTTTAAATTCCATAGATCAATGTTATATTTTAGCGTCCTGTTGCACTGCAAGACGGAATAAACAAATCATGAACTTCCATAGATCCCTTTCAGGAACCAATTACTCATGAAACAGCACTGACACAAATGTTATAATGTATTAGAACGTTCCTTCCATGAATTGTCTCAAGTAAAACTGTGACCAGTATTGAGAGGATTTGCAGAATTTTTAAATTATGTTTAAAAGTCCATTTAAGAAACCTGATATAGCTATGTATGTAAGAAATACACTGTGTGGTGCATATAAAGGCAGGTATATAACGGATGTAATTTATCTTCACATGGGGATCATACATCAACTCTTGTTTCAAAGCACAAATCTTATGTGACATTTGAACACAAGAAGTACTGCGATTATAAATGACAGGTATATAATGTATAAGCTTACTTCCTAGTAGCTGTTGAAGGATTTGTTAGGTCAGTATTGAAGATAAATTGTAATGTGTATAGCTTATTGGACTAGCACCTGTTGAAGGATTTGTCAGGTCAGTATTGAAGATAAATTGTAATGTGTATAGCCTATTGGCCAAGTAGCTGTTGAAGGATTTGTTAAGACAATATGGAAAATAAATTGTAATGTGTATAGCGTATTGGCCTGTCAGAGACACTGCAAATCCAAGTGGTCCCAGTGAAAAATATCGTGGATAATATGTGTCTCTCACCCTGCTTTCTGAAGGATTTGTAGTAAGCTGTCAGGTGACTTTCCTGTAATGTAAAGTGAGATATTAGCAATATAGAGTAAGATCCTACATCACTGTCTCTGTATAATTTTGTGTCTTTTATGAATTGAGACACATTTCATAATTATTATTATGTAGCCAATTATTGATCATCTACCTGTCCCAAACCAGGTATATGTTTGTGTATAATACAGTAATGAAAGAATGTATTTATAATCTTAATTTCATTGAAAGGTACAAAATATGTTAAGCTTTTGTCATTCTGGTTCAGTGTAGGTTCTCAAGCTCTTCCTGTTGTTCCTGTGATTTGACAGTTACCTACTCCAGCATTCTTCGGCTAAGATGATATGTTTCACTCTGTTTATTGATGATAGATGGGTTTGTAATTCTTTGTACTGTAAAAAACTTCTGCTCTTTTAGTTCTTCCTTCTTCAGGGGCATGTATTTACGTTGTCAATGTTCGTTATCTACTTATAGTCAGATTTGTGTAATTCTTTCGTTTGCCTGATTGTAACTGTGTATCCTTTTTCTTTACTAAAAGAGCTACATCTTCTGTTACATGTTCTTTATCTAGTCTACTATTAATATCAAAGTATATTCTATTAATTCTTCTTTTTCATTGCTGATATTATTGCTAAATTAACATTTCTTGCTTTCAGTGCTCTTTTATAGTTCAATTTCTTTATTACAAAGACCTCTTATGTTCAATGCCGCAATTCTTATTTTACCAGCAGTTCTTCATTATGTTTGTTCCTGTCTTTCGGTCTGCTTCTTCGGCATAATTTGGTAATATGATTTTTCCATGGTAGGTGACAAATGTGTTGAAGGGTTAGTCCAGTGGTGGGGATGTCACTCATCTGCTTAAAGATATGCAGGTTTCATATTTCAGGTTACCATTCCCAAGACAGTTTTGCTTTTCTCAGCTCTGAACCCCATCTGCCCATTTTCACTTTTAGCTGACTGCCAAGTACAGCTGCCCCTGGATTGGTTAATCAGACAATGTCAGTAGTTTAACCTTCATGTCATCTTTCTTCTCTGATTAGTCAGCAAGATTAGTTTCCTTGGCATTATCATCTAGGTCACTGAGATTATTCTCTCCTCCCACTGCTGTTTAGTGACCATGTACATAGCAACAGAGTTTTCAGAATGTTGTGGTGCTTAGTACTGAACATTTGAAGAAGGGCAGAGCAATACTGTTTTTTTTTTTTTGGTCACGTGTATAGCAACTGCAGTCCAAAGGATCTGACATTTTCAGTCTTTATGTGCTTGCCAAGTCAGATTCTGATCTATTGCCACCTTTTTGAACTTCTTTAACTTATGTATTGCAGTGTATAAAGCTTGATAGGTAAACAAATGGTTAACACAACATGAACTTTCCTTAAAGTTATGTTGGAAGTGACATGGAACCAGAATTTTTTATAACTCATGCTGTATTTCTGAGTAATGTGTTTTATTTACAGAATGGAAGGAAGTGGTGATACTAAATGTGCATCACTAATGGATGAGGAATTGAATTATCTGATTGGGGACTACAGCATTCCCCATGTTGCAGAACTTGGCCAAGATTCAGTACTTGCACACTCGCAGTATGCCAAGGTTAGATATATGTACAGCACTGTTTGATAACAGTATCTACAAAAACTTCCTCAAATGATTGGATCTGAACTTTATATATATCAGTTTGCCCATGAATACACAGTTTTTCACATCCAAAGGACATAATTTTTGGCTTCCAGAGCTCTTGATTTAAACGTTCTTCAGCTTTGAGGTTTCTTTGCTTGCTGACTGTAATCTCTAATCTCATCCTGCCATGTATTGATTGTTCTGCCATGCCTCTTTTTCCCTTGTGGCTCCCATTCTGCAGCCTGTCTAACAATTCTGCAGTCCTTCATCTGCATGACACAGCTGTACCATCTTAACTTCTGTTCCTCTGTTTTCTGCAGTATGTTTTTTCTTCATTCCATTCTCTTTACAACTGTTTCATTTTGAACTCTATCCATTCATGATATCTTTGCCGCACCCCTTAGATAATCCAGTTCTGTAGCTAATAATTTATGTATTTCCATTTTATTGACCATGTTTCAGCTCTCTATGTTAATATATAACCTTTTACTATTGCTCCATATATTAATAGTGTGACAGGTGCACAGGGAAGTGTCACTTCCTATGTAACACATTGTCAGATATCCCGTTTTCATCTTGTGGAATGACATCACCCTGTAATATTTTATTTAATAATTTTGTTACCTGTGTTAAAACGTTTCTTCCATATTTTATTAAAGCTAAATTAATATTCCTAACTCCAGGAGATTTCCCACTCTTCACATTCTTTAGTGCTGTATCCAAATATATGTCTGAAACTGTTAAATTTGTACTTTCCATTTTCTATTCTACCTCTTCTATAAATTCAATTCTCTCTTCTGTAAGTAATATCTCATAAAATTTATACCAATTCTGCATTGATGTCATGTCTATCTTGGTTTTATGACTGGTTTGTTGTCTTTTTTTTGAAGGGGCGGGGTTTGCACTCATGCTTCCCTTGTCCTCTTGATGCATGGACAACACAAAAAAAAAATCTAAAAGAATGGTCCCAGGGTTTACTAAGCCGGTAACAGAAATGATTACCAGGAATCTTCTTGGAGGTAAAGGGTGGCCAACACATAAGGCTGATAACCTTACTGCCATCTCTGAACTGATTGTCTAGAAAATGTGGGAACCTTGACATCTCACAACCCTATGGTCCTCCATGTCCTGTTACAGGGATAGCCTTACCGGACAACACAACACCATATGTGCACGCACGCACGCATGCACGCACACACACACACACACACACAGAGGCACACAGGGTTGAGTGGTTACCATTTCTTCATTTACTAATCATTATGAGATCAGATGCTGTATAATCTGAGGTATTGAATGTGTTGTTAGTTGACAAAGAATACATGAATAGAAAACCTCCTGCTTCCCGATTGAAAAAGAAATGGTCCGTGTTTTGCGCCAGCAGCCACATGTTAGTTGTGCTGTCTGGCAGCTTTCTTGGAACATGCATGTTGTGTTGGTCCTCTTTTCATTTACTACTCTGTGCATTTTTGTAATGGTTGGAAACAGTACATGGGCCTGAGAGTTGAGCACTGATTGCGTTTTGTTTTAATGTTTGAGCTTTTTATGGGCGTGAAGATTAGACTGCATGGTGTATTTCCTTTTATGATAATGGTCAGTCACAAAGTCACAAGTGCTGCCTTCTGAACGTACAAGTCTGAACAGTACACAATAGCAGACTTCTTGACAAGTATAGTAATTGTGTTGCTGGTCTGCTTGTCATGAAAGTGGTTGATAAATATTTTGAACACTGAATCAACATGATGTTTTTGTTCAAGCTTGAAAATGAGAAACTGAAATCTTTGAAATGTTAAAGGAAGTATGTGAAGAAGAGGTTCTATCAGCATTTGTTTCTGGGTGGTGTAAATGTTTTTCCAAGGGAAGGGATTAAGCTGAGTTTGACAGCTGACTTGGATGTTCACCAACATCAAAGTCAGATGAAAGTGTCAAAAAGATGAGAACTCTGGTGTAGAGTAATCAACTTCTTACTGTGAGAGACACTGTAGAAAACTTAATTGTCGGTCAGATTTTACAGAAAATTTGCAGATGAAGAAAGTTTTTGCAAAGATGGTGCCTGAAAACCTCACTAACAACTAACTGCAGCAGAGAAGAGAGGTTCTTGCTGATTTTTTGCAGCAACTTAAGGAGAATGACAGGTGGATGAACCACCATTACCAGGATGCAAGGTGACGTTTCCAGTTTGATTTTGACACAAAGCATCAGAGCATGCAATGGAAATATCCAGGCTTACCATGCCCGAAGGAAGTGCAGATGTCAAAGCCAAAAGTCAAGACATTTTTTATTTGTTTCTTTGATTGCAAAGGAGTAGTCTGTCCACCTAGTCAGACAGCCAGAGTGCTACGACATTACATGGTGACATACCTGAGAATATAGTGCTCTTCATAGTTGCTGCCATTAGGATCGGAAACCTTATGCAAATAAGGGTTCCCATATGTATTTTATTGTTCTACATTGTCGAGGTATGGATTGCTGGGATGCTTAATTATGCCATGTTTGAATAGTCTTGATATGTTATTTTAATATCATTTATACAGTGTTGTTGTTGTTATTTTCGTCATCATTGCTGCTGCTGCTTCTCTCTCTGTGGCTGCTGCATCTGCTGTTTCATTTTGATGATGGTGAACAGTTTTCATTGACTAGTGTGAACTTTTCATGACTTGATTAATTGCAGGTCATATTCCATGATATTGCTGACACATACCCAACTGATGCTGACATCTGTTGCCGATATTCTCTGACTGATGGTGTGACAGTGTCACATGGAGATAGAATTGCCCTTTATCGAGTGGGATGGAGCTCGGTCCAGGAACATCTTGTGTTTGAGTGGGTGCCAGTGACAGATACAACTGAGCTTCAGGTTCTCTTCAAAGGTGTGGCTTTAATTTTGGTAGGATAAATAAAATGTAATTTGTAAACAAACATAATATAATTAGCTCTTCCCCTTTCCCTCCATTATAATGACAGCATTATTATTGTTATTGTCATCATCGCCATCGTCACCACCACCATCTTTTTTTAGAATTATGGTGTCCTGTGGTTCAGCTTCACCATCGCTAAGACATCTGGATTTTTACTCCCTTCTGCCTGATATTTAAGGCTTCTGGCAGTTTTCTGTCTTCCATCCATTGTGCATTACCACTCAATTTCCCATTCATCTATTTCTCCATTTCTTTTATCTGTTATTTTCTCCAGAACTTGACATTTGGAGAAAGAATGTGATACATTTTTGATCAAAGAAAATAGTACTGAGATTTGATAATTTAATTGCAGTCAGATATTTTTGGAACCTGGAAAGTTTAATCCTTTTTGACTTTAAGTAACTCTGTATGATAATGTTTTCATGTTTGTGAGATGAAAATGCTTTATATTAAAGGGTAACTGGGAAATTACTAGAATTTATATTGTAAGTTTTATAAAATTTTGTAGGTCTAGACAAAGTTAGTGTCATACATTCTTGTTGTACAGCCAGCAGTCTCCCTAAAGATGAAGACGAGTTCTATCAACTCTGTTATGTGACGACAAATGGCCTAGTGTGTGGGGCTAGTGTACCTTTCCAGTTCCGCCACCTACATGAAAATGAACTCTGTGCTGTGGAAGAACAGGATGGTATGATGGTGGTCAGATCCAGGACTGCTTTTACAGAAGAGAAGCTGAGAGAGGTAACTTAACCCTCTCCTGTAATGAACAAAAAAATTCTCATGTGTTATGTGTCTATGAATATCCCTTGGAAGGTTAACTAATTTCTTGATGCAGTATGATATAGTCTAGCATTTCTTTCACATACTGGCCTCTGTTCTAGATTTGTATGTCTTGCCAAGAAATAATGCAAACTTTGGGGAGGAGGAGGAGGGGGGAATATTATGATGAAAATCTGACCCTGATTACAGTTTGGAGAGGTTTTGTGTTTTTGCTATGACATTGCTTTTACAGTGGGTGTTTTCCCTTACATGGCATTTGCAAGGCTGTTAAGAAATTTGCTATACCTGTCAGCACTGGATGTAATTTCCCTATACTGTTTTCATTTATTTAGTAGTGTTGTCAGTAGCTGCAGTTAAATAATGTCAAGTGTAGAAATGTTACTGAATAATGAATTGGTAAGGATAGGAAGGAAGCAGTTATGGACTAATTTTATGCACTGTCCCTGTCATCTGCCTTGAGGAATGAGGAAAATGATGAAAAACCTTGGTCACGATAACCAGGGTCATGGCTAGGATTTGAACTGGATACATCACAAATACAAGTCAGAAGTGTTCTGCTTGAGCCAACTTGGTCAGTAATTTCTCTTTACAGTTTATTTCCATCAGTGTTGACTAAACTTGAGAAAAAGAAATTACCACAGAATTAGTCTTGGCCCGAAGGATAGCTTTTAGAACACAAAGACAGCCTCCAATTACTGCCAGAGTTTTGTATTCAAATCCCAAGTAAACCCTGAGAATCTTGTAACTACAGCCATATGACAAAAACACATGGATAACCCCTTGGATTTTCAGACTAGCCCAAGCATGGCCATATGTAAATTTGGTATAAATAGTGGGAACTTTAATTAAACAGACTAATAAGGACAATAGATGCTGAAATTAAATTCTCAATCCACCACCCAAATAGGGCACTTTCTGCTGCCTCAGAGTTTACAAACTCATGAGTGTGTGTGTATTAAAAGAAAGCGTTAAAGTCAAAGTCCCTTATAAGCAGTCAGTAATGTGGTGTATGCATATTGTGATCACAGAACCTGTCTGTATTCTATTGCTGGGATTTTCTCAAATTTGTTAGATTGTTTCCTTCCAGGTTTCAAGAACAAGTCCTTTCATGTCTCATAATGAAGTCTCTCTACCGTTGCACCATCCATCCCTCTCTCTGTATCTTCATGTTAATCCCCTCCTTCAGGCATTTACTCTCTTGGACTCCAGGGTTGATGCAGAATGACTAGAGTGATGTCATAAAATGTACAAGAAAACAGTGTGATAGGTTTATTGCTGTACTAGGTGATTAAGCTGGATGGTAATAGCAGTGGACCTCATCTGCATTCTGTAGTGTGTAAGAATATTGACAAATTTTCAATGGTAATTTTTCATAGCATATATATTAACATAGGAGCCGGGATAATGTAGTCGATATAGTGACTGGCTGCAGGCTGGACAACTGAGAGGTTGGAGTTTGAGTCCAATTAGGGTCAAGAATTTTCTCTTCTCCACATTGTCCAGACCAGCTCTGGGGTCCACCGAACGTCCTATCCAATGGGTACCGGAGGCTTTTTTCCGAGGGTTAAAGTGACGGGCAAGAAGCTGACCACTAACCTCCAGATATTACCGAGGTCAAAACACTCCCCTATACATCTTCATGGTGTAGTGCTTAATTAGTTAAGCACATGGACAACTTTTACCTTATATATTAACATAATTATATTTTATTTGAAGGCTCTTGTAGCAAATGAACTTCTACAGAAGGAGAAAGACAGCTTGGAGAAAGAGTTGGATATTTTGGAGAAGAAATACAACAAAATATCAGCGGAATTTCTGGCCGGCATGCAGAAGATCACCAAGCTGGAAACTGAAAAACAAGTATGTGCTTCATGTTTCTTGTGAAAGGTCTTTGGAATTGGCACTGGAAGGGCTAAATATAAGTAAAAATTAAGCTATAGTAACAGTGATTAATTGTAACGCAGTCACTGGAGAAGAAGCTAGAAGATAATTTGCATATGGAATCTCATTTGGAGTGGCTGAAGCGTGATCTGCTTGCGTGTGACAAGGAGAAGCATGAGAGTCTTGCCAAGCTGAACAAGGCAGAGCAGCACATTCAAAACCTTAGAGCTACAATGGATACTCTAACTACTGTGAGTATTCCATAGACATGTCTCAGAGATAGATATAGTTTCCTGAGATTTTAATCAGCCGTTATATATTCTGTACTTCATTATGTCTGGGCCATTCCTTTACTTCATTTGAGGCTTGGTGCATGTGATCATCAGATACCTCAGCCACAAATTTTAATCAAAAGCAATACTGTTTTTTATTCTGCCAGACTACACATACAAAATTATGTGGAGGAAAATAGGCATGTGATTCATATTGTGGTCTTTTACATTATGACCTGTGTAGGAACTAAAAGTTTTGAAGGATATACAGTCCCCATCATCAGGGTAGACAATAGAGGCATTATGTTCCTCAGAAACATTGGTGCCACCTAAGCAGAATACACAGTGCCATAACTCAGAAGACCACAATGCGAATCTTCGAGAACCTGATTTCATACAGGCATCATGAGACCTTGAACTTTTGTTTTCTTAGCACTTATGCAAGGTCTGACAATAATGTTTGCGAACTTGCCACTGTGTGCTTGCCATGGCAACAGTGGACACAAACCTCCATATGGTTTGATGACATTGGCATATCAGCATTTGACAGTTATGTTGTTGATCTATGGCAGTCTCTTTCTGAGTGGCGTCTGTTATTGTCTGAATGTGTTTTGATGTGCTATCACGGGAATGTTGGATTGAACTTTAAATGTCTTGTTAATCATGGCAAGAGTGGAAGCAAAATCAGAGAGATGTTAATGGAGGTTAATGGGATAATGCTATGAAGAAAACAGGAGTTTACAAATGAGTGATACATTTTTTTTCTGAGGGAAGAGAAAGTGTGAATGACGAAGAGAGTTCAGGATGGCCAGCAACCAGCAGAATTGAAGAAAACATTGCAAAAGTTAATAAAATTGTGAATGAAAATCATCGGATGACCATCAGGAGCATAGCAGTGCAAGCAAACATCAACAGATAAACAGTTAGGAAAGTCTTAACTGAACATCTTGACATGAGGAAGGTGTGTGCAAAACTGGTCCACAAGGAGCACTGCCTGTGAGAGTTTTTATCTAGTAAACAAATAACTGCTGGAACACCCTCCCTGTTCACCGGATCTCGCTCTCAATGACTTTTTGTGTTCCTAAAGATAAAGGAAATAGTGATGGAAGGCATTATGATGACACTGATGATATCAGGAGTAATATGGTGGAAGCTCTGAAGGCCATTCCACAAAACCAGTTCCAAAGTTGTTTTGAAGCGTGGACTAGGCACTGGCATCAGTGTGCATAGCTTCCCAACAGGGAGTACTTTGAAGGCGACCACAGTGATACTCAGCAGTGAGGTATGTAGCACTTCTACCATGATCAATTCACGAACTTTATTGTCAGACCACATATTCTGTTTTATTGAAAATCTATGAAATTATGTTAGTGGTAGCAACATGAAATTATCTGGATAATTTACTGCAGCCATTGCATATCGTAATGTAAGTATAATTGAATGTATCTTTGAAGGACAAGGAGCACATGGCACAATTGTTACGGAATGAGACCCATAACAAGTCAGGCACTGCTTTAGAAATTATCCAATACAAAGGCCAGGTTGACAGCCTCACACAAATGTTGGAAGCTCTAACTGAGAGCAAGGAGCTGGCATCGCAGGAGCTCCGAATGCAGCGGGCAACAAATGATAAGGTACAGTTGAGTTTCCCATTTGATTTGTTTGTAGACTGTTTTGTGTAATATTAAATGAAGCTTCTTTTTGTTTTAAGTTACAAGAAGAAATATACGATATGCAGACACAAAGGAAGGTGCTTCAGCACAACGTGTCAGGTAAGCTGGAATTCTCAGAATACTTCAGACATAGTGCTTGAGATGGGGCAGGACATTTGTGTTAAGTTTTTGCCTACTCCAGCTTCATTTTTTAAAGACAAGGAAATAATGAACACTCTTTCCATAGTGAACATAAAACACCTGGTGGAATCTATGTCAAGATGCCCTAAACTATACTGAGCTCTATAAGTGATTGAACAGCCCTACCGAGGGAGCTCTGAAAATGATTTTGAGCAGAGTTTCCAAGCATGATTGAGATGCTGGAATATGTGTATGGTAGTATGTATGGTGTTAGAGGGTGAAATCTTTGAAGATGACTGCATTCACTAAATTTTAGCAACAGTTGTTTCTATCAGAGAGTCCATTTATTTGTCAGACTGTATCATCATCATCATCAGTAATCTGTCAAGATGACAGGTCCACGGTCTCTTTCAAAACAGTTCCTCCACTTAATGCGATCTAGAGCTTTCTCCTTCAAATGACAGTATCCTCTTCTGTCCCCAAGGTCATCCAGCATCTTCTTACGTCTTCTTCCTCGTCTTCTTGTCACTTCTATCCGCCCATCTATCTTTCCTTCGATAGCTTCTTTTAGAAGGCAGTTTCTGCGTAAAACATGACCAATCCAATTAGCCTTCCGTTTTCTTATTTCATGTAGGATATTCCTCTGCTCACTGACTCTAATTAACACTTCTTCATTTCTCACATAATCGGTCCAACTTATCTTCTCCATTCTTCTCCAACACCACATTTCGAAACTTTCCAGATGTTTCTGATCTACTGCCCTAAGTGTCCATGTTTCAGCCCCATACAGAGCTATGCTCCAAATGTAGCATTTCACTAGTTTCTTCCTCAAATTTAAGTCCAATTTGCTGGTAAAAAGATTCTTCTTCTTGCTAAATGCAGCTTTTGCCATGGCAATCCTGGATTTAATTTCACAAGTACACCTTCCATCATCTGTTAACAAGCTACCCAAATATTTAAAACATTTCACATTCTCCACTTGTTTTTGGTCTATCTTTATTGTGACTGGGGTTGGTTGTCTCGAAATTTTCATTACTTTTGTTTTCTCCACATTCATTTCCATGCCATAGCACCTTCCAATTTCAATTAGTCTATCAATCATGCCCTGTAGCACAGTTTCTTCCTTAGCCATTAACACAAGGTCATCTGCATATTTCACAGTTTGAATAATTTGCCCTCCTACTTTGAAGTCACCGAGCCCATCCAGAGCTTCCTTGGTAAGGCATTCGCTGTACAAGTTGAACAGAATTGGTGATAAACAGCATCCTTGTCGAACTCCTCTTCCAATCTGCACACTTCCTGTCTCCCCCCTGTCCAGTCGTACTCTAACTTTCTGATCCATGTACAATTTGCTAATCAATCTTCTTTCATGCCAATCGATACCTGTTTCTTTCAGGATCTGCATTAATTTGGTCCAGTTTACCCGGTCAAATGCCTTCTGCCAGTCTATGAAGCAAACACACAGTTCTTCATCTATCTCCAAAGTTCGTTCCGCTATAATTCTCATCATCCCAATTGCATCCCTGGTTCCTTTTCCTCTTCTAAATCCAAACTGATCTTCTCCAAGTACATCCTCTATTTTCCTTTCAATTCTTCTTTTAAGTATCTTTGCTATTATCTTTGCTGTATGTGCAATAAGACTTATTGTGCGATGGTCGCTGCATTTTGTAGCTTTTGTCTTTTTCTTTAAGGCAATCATTGTAACTTCTGTAAAGTCCTTGGGCCACTCTCCACTTTCATATATGGTGTTCATTAGTTTTGTCAGTGTTTTCAAACCACCTTCTCCCAGTAACTTGAGCACATCTCCAGGTACATCATCATCTCCTGTAGCCTTTCCCTTCCTCATTTCCTTGATAGCTTTTTCCACCTCACTTTGTAAAATATATGGTCCTTTCTCGTCTGTATCTACTTCTTCTTCCGGTTCAACTTCTAAGGTTTCTGGCCGATTAGGTCGATCATATAGTTCTGAAATATAATTTTCCCAAATTTTCAGCACTTGCCTCTGATCTACTATTCTATTCCCCTGGGAGTCTTCGATGCCAACATTTTGAATCCCATGATTCTCTTTCCATCCTAGTTCTTTTGTCTTCATGTACATCAAATCATAACGGCCTGTTCTTTGAAATTCCATAATCTCATTACATATCTTCTCAAGATATTCCTTTTTGGCCCTGTCCGTGGCTCTTTTCAATTCATTCCTCAGTCTCCTGTATTTCCTCCTGCCTTCTTCATTGTTGACATTCTTCCATTTCCTTCGCTCCTCCATTTTACTCATCATCTCCTGTGTAACCCATGGTTTTCTTGCTATCTTCTCAACTTTACCTACCAAATCAAATCGTATTGTTCCACTGCGCTTCAGCATTTCCGCTTTCACCTTCAATTGCACCGAGTTTCTCTTCTAGGGTCTCTTGCACGCTTTGTCTTTGAGCATATAACTTCTCCAAATCCCATCTGGGTCTGCGCTTTCGAAATCCTATAATTTTCTTCAACCTGGTTCGGAACTTGGCAACCAGCAAGTTGTGGTCAGATATTTTAAGAAAAGACTGGCACACTTCTGTATGTTAGAGACATCATGTTAATGTTACCATACTTGATTTGTGTACCAGTTGTAAATACCGAGTAAGGTGCAAGTTGAAAGGCAGTGTTGTGGTATATTTAAAGTCATAGGACACCTGTCCACTGCATTGTGACTTGCTGATAGTGGGTGGTTGTATTAACTTGTCAGGTATTTTATTCTGAAAAAGTGTAATGAATATAATTTTGTTTCATTTCTAGTATTAGAGGAAGAGAAGAAGATACTTCAGGAGCAGATTTTAAGTGTTGAAAAGATGTCAGAAGAGAAGACAGAACAGATAAATGATCTTGAGAGGGAGAAGGAACGTCTGTTAAGTGAGCTTGTTCAGTCTGCAAGTCAGAGGGAAAAAGAAATGCAGCTGATAAGGGAAGTTTATGAGGGACGTTTAAAAGAAGCAGCAAATAAAGCTATGATTGTAGAGCAGGATTTAAGTGCAGTCATGGCAGAGGCAGATGAGAGAAGGAAAGATGCTCTAGAGATATCTCAAGTGAACAAATGTTTGAAACAGCAATTACAAGAAGCACAGATTATCATTTCAGAAAAGGAACAATCGGTAGTGCAAATAGCAAGCGAGAGGACAAGTTTGGAAGCTGATTTGAAAAAGGCTGGTGATGCTCAAAAGAAGTTGATTAAACATAATGAATATCTTAGTGCTCGTGTAATGGAGATTGAAAATGAATCAGCGTCCTTAAGTTTACAGTTGCAAGAATTAAACATACAGCATGAGAGGAAGGTCCATTTCAGGAACATTTTCACAGATTTAGAACATAGAATTATAAACTTAGAAATGAAACAGGAGGAGATCATAGCCAGTAAAAATGTCCAGCTGGAAAGAATTGACACAATAGCTGAGCGACTTTCAAAACTGGATGTGAAGGCACAGACATTGCACTCTGAGCGAGAAGATGTGGCAGCTACTCGTGACATACAGGAGAGTGAACTAGCTCGAATGGTTGGTAACCTGACGTCCTTAAAGGAACGTTTGAAGAAAAATTATTTGATGCAATTTGATATGCATGATGATTTCAGTATAGAAACTTTACAAGCAACTGTCAGTGAGTTGGATGCTTTTGTGGAGAGCTCGAAGATGAGGATATCTGACCTTGATCAGCAAATAAAGGAGGTAGAAGAAGAAAAGTCAGTCCTAATGCAGCAGCAGTCCCATGCTTTGGAAAAGAAAAACGAGTATGTGAACTGTTGATCCCTGTTTTAATAAGGAAATTTATTCTTATTCTTGTCATCCAGCATCCTGAAATTCTTAATCTTGGTCTTTTCTAGTTGACAGATTGGGTTAGTAAACTGAGTCATCGCTTAATAAGCTTAAATAAATTTCAGGCATTATAGACTGGTATACTGGTTCATACTCATACATAAAAGGTAAAGGTAAAGTTGTCCCTCTATGTAATGAATTAAGCATGACTCCATGAAAACATATGGAATGGAGGTGTTATTCCATACATTCTTCACTTTGGCACTCAATGAATGTGAGCGGTTGGCTTCCCACCCTGGCTGCTTTACTTCTGGGGAAGGAGCCCCCAGTACCTTTTGAATAGGAGGCTGGGTAGGCTGCAGAGCTGGTCTGAAGGCTGTGAAGACAAAAATCCCTTGCCCCTGCTATGCATCGAAACCTTATTTCACGTCGGTATAGCCTGTAGTCTGTCAGTATACCAACTGGTTCCATACAGGTGCACTGGCACCAACTAATTCACTCACTCATTCACTCTTTCCTTTAAGCAGCTCAAGTTGAAGTCCGTGTTTAACAGAATAGCTTTTTATGATGAGAGATTAACCCACCTGCCTAATCTGAAATTGAATGGTTGTGCTTAGTTTGCTCTTTCTGGTTGGTAATAGAATTATTATGGATGACCATCCATATAGAGATGTGGGCATGTCCAAGGGCAAGTCAAAATCAAAACCATTTTTGCTATAAATCATGGTAAAATACACTCATGACAGTTTTTTTTAAGTATGTTGTCACGTGTAGGATGGTACGCGTGATGAAATACAGGTTCTAGTTCAGATGATTGTATTTATTTGCACTTTGGTTACAACCTCTAGTAATTACGCTCAGGATAGCGTTTTAGCTGATTTGCACACACTGCGATTCTCAGTCTTCACAGATCTCAACACAGAAACTATAGCAGTGTCACTGGATCACACACTCCCAGTATTACACATAAACACAGTCTTCAAATCACACTTTAAGCCTTCACAAGTCTCCTACGAACTTCCTGTGGCTCTCTCCTATCAAGAACCCTCTCACTGTCACTTAAACACTCTCAAATACTGAAATCTGTTCTGTCTGTAACTGTCGTTATACAGCCTCCACACCAACCACGCATAGAAAAGAGCCTATATTGTTGAAACGTGTTTACCGACTGTTTGCATAGCAATGGTCGCAGCACAGACTCCATAGAAAGCCAGTCACGTGATAGCTAGTACTGTTGCAGTGTGACATCATTGTGCCTGCACGGAAGTCTCTTTACTGAACCGTTGCCTATAAGCAGGTTGCATAATCTTGTTGAGTGCACTTTCAAAACTGAAGGTTGTTTACAGGTCATTTCTTAGAAATGCTCTGGCCATCCACATTACAGTATAAACACTGTCCTTTCAAACACATTTGGTCCATTGCCCCATAAGTTTCTTGTTTCTTGAGAATAAAATGTTTTTGGTTAGAGACAGTATAGCTCAGTCGGTATGGCAACGGGCTGCGGGCTTGACAGCCACGGTTTGATTTCAGCAGGAGCAGGAGATTTTTCTCTTTTCCACAGTGTCCACAGACTATCTCTGGGGTCCACCCAGTCCCCTACACACTGGATGCTGGTGCCCATTACCTCAGGGTAAAGCGGCTGGGGTGCAAAGTTTACCACTCACCCCAACCTACTGCCAAGGTCAAGAATGATGGGACCTCCAGTCCCCCATACATTCTCATGGCATGATGCTTAATTTATTAAGCACAGGGATAACATGACTTTACCTTACCTTACCTTAAGTTACCTTCAGCCATTTTTGCACAGTTACTTTCTATGAGATGCTCGTTTCGGATGCTTTCTCATCAGTGCTAATTCTTTGATGGTTCCAGATTTACTTACCAGATTAGTCCTTAACCTCAGAACATTTTACAATCAGTGACCCACAGCACTTGTCTCTCCTTTGTTTTCCCACTCATTAGTAGTCTCTCCTGTGGCTTAAGAAGGTAACATACTGGACTGTCATTCTTTTATACATTTCAGTACTTTTTACACCCTCTGGGTATGTAACTTGGATAACAAGTCATTGCTTTTCTTTCATGTATTTCTGTTAGTGGAGCATCCATATTTAATGTTACACAGTATTGTCATTACTCAAAAGAGAGAGAAAATTGACTTCATACAGGTGACAGAAGGTTCATTTTGTTTATATCCAGCATTATTTTCAGTGCTGCCAGTATGACTTTTTCTAGCACACTATAATTTCTTTGATTTTTTACTTTCTTCTGCAAAGTGTAGTGATTACTTACCCCATATTACTGCTATAGACAAACCTTGACAACTGTGATCTGTGATCCATAGCTGAACTTTTGGTCACACATTTATACCAAATAAATGGATTTATTACTGGATAAAAGAAAGTAGATACCATAGCACCCTGGGCCCTGGTAGGTTTTAAGTGCTGGTTTAAGAACAAGATCTCTTTTTGTTCTGCCAGTCTGGGAAATCCACGAGTTTATTGGCAAATTTTTTATCTAAAGATTGGAATTTTTGTTTGTGCAGGAAGCTTCATTAGGAAGAGGCAGTGATGAGAAACGAACATGGCTTGGAAATTGAGAGTCATTTTATATCATTTATTCCATAACTATGAATCATAAAATACCTTTAAAGCAGTTACTATTAGACATATTTGATTGGATATTTACTCTTGAAGGTACAAGAGGCGTGAGGGAGAAGTACATCAAGAGCTGGTTGAGCTGCATGAACATGAACGTGAAATAAGGCAGGAACACGGAGGCCAGTTGACAGCACTGCAGGATCAGTGTGACGATGTATCAGATGGAAACAATGATATGCTTGCAGCTGGTTTAACTCCAGGGGGAAAAGTGGCTGTGGCAAAGATGGAGAAAGTAGACCTACAGGAGAAATTGCAAGAAAGTAACGACAGTTCACTTGAGCAGGTTGGATCTATATCTCAGTTTGTTCTCATCTGATATGGCATATTTATAAATTTTTGCACTAAGACACTGGACCCTTGAAGAAATAATAGCATCTAGAATTCAGCATAGTTTGAAATCTGTCTCAAAGGAATTGTCTCTATAAGTCTTAATGAGAAAACTGGAGAACTTCTGAAGGATTGTGGTGTAGCCCTTGTATTGTTTCTATTTCTTCATCATGTTACATCTATCTCAGCTGGTGACATGTGGTTGTATTATACTAAAATATGTTGAGCTAATCAAATTTTTTGTTTGTATTAGCCCAATATACCATATTTTCCCCAATATCCCACACCGTTGAATAATCTCTGGACCTCACTTTTTAAGAAATGAAAAACGTCCAAAAGTTCATGTGAATGTATTGAAATATTAAAGTTTACCTATTGGGTATGAAGGTACTTAATGCAGTGCATCTTAAAATTGAACATGATACATGGGAAAGTTAAAATTTTAATTGCACACAGATGCAAGAAATTGTACACGAGCTAGTCCTTCTCTGCATATGCCCCCTGCAAGGCAACATGTTTTCCCCATTGATGCAATAGCTGCTGGATACCTTGATCATAGAAGGTCTCATTTTGACTGTTTAGGAAGTCCAAAATTAATAATGTTTTAATAATAATTCTTTACTACAATAAAATTGTGATTAATACAATTAAGATTTATTATGTAAATATCTTGACTCTGATGATTGTTTAAATCCAGAATTTTAAGTATGTAAAGAATGTTTAACATAAAAAACTGAATCCTGTGAATATAGGTATTTTCCTGAAATTGAAGATTGAAGGGGAGGGGGATCATCTTATATGCAGGCTTATCTTGTATTCGGGAAAATAACAGCATTTTTAGTCTTTTATTACCCTTGAAAGATTGTAAGTGCCTGCCTTGAGTACTTATGTTTAGCAGGACTGAAGCTGTCTATGGATATATGAAAGGAAAAGGAATTTGTGAAAGTTAAGACTGTGTTTGAAATAAATGGTATTGCCAACCACATAAATGGACTACACACCATTGCCAGCCCTGTCACAAACTGCTCACTGTTGCTACTTTTATTCATTTTATTATGAATAAACCATGCTTTGTTGTGAGACTTATCACGAATAAGTTATATGCCAAAGTTTTTGGTCAATAAAATGTCTGTAACAAAATTAGTTACAGTGCATAAAATTTATATTTGTTTAAACCTATTTGTTTTGTTTTTAAATGTCCTTTCAGCATTGTGAATGTTTAACAGAATGTGAGGAAACATAATTTCTTACACAGTGGATTGTTCATGATTGGGTTTTCAGCAGGTTAGTATCTGCAATAAATGAACATCAACACCAGTGACACATGCAAAATCACATAAAAGGTTAAGGATGTGTGTACATTATTGGCAGGCTCTTGTGAACATGGTAATGAAACTTTGGGTTTCTTAAAAGGCAGGGTATATTTTCTTAGCTGAATTAGCTTCTTGAACTTCACTCTTGTTGTGATTTAGTTATTCAGGGGTTTCCTATGTCTAAAAAAAATGCTATGCTTGAATATACGTTATATTTTTCTGTTGGCAGCAGTGTAGTAGCCCAAATGTCACTGACATGAATACATGCCTGAAGCAAGAACAGGAGTTAAAATTGCGACTACAGTTGGCAGCAGCAGAGTACAGGAAACTGTACACTGAGAAGCAGAAGGTAGAAAGGCGGCTTACAAAACTGTACCACAAAATGAATGAAAAGAAACTAAAATCTTCATCTGCATTGGAGCAGTCAAAGGCCAGTCCTGTGGCAAGAGAACAGCCCGTGACTGGAGAACTAATTTCTCTCTCACAGGCTGCAGTGGCAGGTTCTGAAAATCGCACGTAGGTGATCACCCATATCTTAATAAACTCACAGATCACAGTTATGACCAGTATGAAAGAATTTCAATAATTTTTTTATTTATGATACTCAATAATGAAGATTTTTTTGTTTTTTTACAGGTAACCTATTGTTAGAGTAAATAAATCTAGAAATTTATGATGGGCTGGTTAAGTGCATGGGGAAACCCACCCTCTCCAATAACTAACTAACTAACTAACTAGACCAGTATTGGTCCATTGTGCTTCCCTCTATGATATTCTACCAGTCTCTATACCCTACCGATATTGGTGTGTACCATCAGTCCCGACCGAGCCAGTGAGTTCGGCCTCTACTGGCTTGACGGTATCTATAATGCTTCCCCCATCTATCAGAGGCGTTAGAGACTACTGTTGGGTGGGAAACGTCCTTGAATTTGGCTCAGTGACCTCCTTTGGAGATATGAGGTTCTTTTACGTGTCATAAAGCTACGACACGGGACCCACGGCTTAAAGTCCCTCCCAGAGGACTTGTTCCCTGAAATTTTCCACCCTTAAAAATTCCACGACCTCCGCCGAGTTTGAACCCGCATACCACGAGTCATGAGGTGGGAACGTTACCTCTAGACTACGGAGACCGCTTTAGTTCACTGTATTAGTACTTGTATTCATTATATACAAATTATAATATCTTTGGTTTGTCAACCTTATACAAAGCAGTATGCTTGTAAGACTATATACTGCAACCAAAACAAAGGATAATGGTACTGATGTAGTGCGTTTATTTAAGATTTTATTTTCTTGTGTTTAATTTTATATTTATTGCGGATCCCATGAAGATATTGTATTAAATTTGAGTTTTGCTGATGACCCAGCATGAAGCACCAAGAGTTATTGTTTTGATGTTTCAAGTTTTTGTCACTTAGAATAACATTTTTACAGTGCTGGCTTATTTTGCTTAGTTCTTCCATTTAGGGTATATTTTTAAGTGGGTCCCTTGTTATTATGTCATGCCCTCAGGTTGCAAATGGAGACAGCCTCCATATGTAGAAGATAGGTGCATATAGGTTGAATAAGCAGTCATGGAAAACAAACTGAGGGTGGTCCTCCCCTTTAAGGGATTAGCAGGAGTCTGTCTCGTCACTGTAAAAAGCTGGCACAATTTGAAATATTACTCTAAAATCTTGGTTACTTTCAGGGCCCTCCCATCACAAGAGAAAGGTGGTCCTGTTTCCTGCTTTTTATGCCCAGTCTGCTCTGTGACATTCCCTCGTGGAGCTTATGATTTGTTCACACAGCATTTTGAAGCCCATCTCAGCTAGACGGCAAGTAATTTGTACCAATATTCTGCATTACTTGAACATTTCTCAACAGTTATGAGAAGGATTTAGGTAAGTATAAATTTGTTCAAAAGTCGTGAATAATAATCTGTTACATTTGGAGATATTTCTTTCAAATTATTGGGACTTTCTAATTTAATCAAGGTACTGTTTCTCCCAATTAGGACTGAAAGTTTGCAAGGAGACCAGAATTAATTTTTGACTCCTTTATTCATTCAGTTTACAAACAATAGCAAGTCAGTCGAACCAGGATATTGTTTTTGCAAGTAGTTTTATAATTATCAACATTTAAATTCTTAAGTGACTACTTTTGAAAGGATTCTCCAAATTTTAATTGGATAAGTTTTGCTACTTTTTCAGCTTACGGTTGTTGAATTGGTGCTAGAGTGTAGATGTTCATAAAGTATATACAGTGGAACCCCCATTTAATTTTCTCAATTTCCATCACTTAGTGTTCATTGTCAATGATTCCAAGTCAGTGTCACTATGCTAAACTACCCCCATTAAGATTTTCCTCAGTTTACTGTTCAAATCCAGTGCTTATATGGCAATTTCACTGTCATTGTGTTTAGGTATGTCATGTAGAGTAAAAGGTAGTACATTTTAAAAAGAATGTACTCGTATTCACCATCAGCAAGGTAGGCAGTGAGGGTACTTGAGGTCTGTCAAAGATTCTATTAATATTGTAACATGTTTTGACATTGAAGACACCATTCGGATTGTTAATTGGTTTATTTAACAACCTACAAGTCTCGGCTACAATTATTTATGACACAGTTGCGGGGTTTCACACTTTATAACCTTATTCACAATAATCTGTTCACACTGTTCTCAGTAGTCTACACGTTTTTACAGTACGGGAGCTCTACAAGTCTCTCTGTATTACACACTCCCAATTACACACACGTCCGGTTCTTCTTCTTTCCGCGACGGCTGCTATATTCCAACTCAACTCGTAGGCTGCTGACTTGAGAACTCACTTCGGCGGCTGATAGGCTTTTAACTCGTTCACTGCTGACTGGAGAACTGTCTTCGGCCGCTGATACACTTTAACTAACTTCAACAACTGAACTTGGCGACAGCCACATTTCAACTGGCTTCGTAGGCAGTGTGGTTCACTTATATAGTTGCAGCACTTGCCTGTTATGCAATGGGTACTGCTGTTGGCTGTTACCCGTGTCACAGCTGCATTGCATGTTACGTCACCGTGCGGAGGGGGGGTGACGGAGCGCTGACTCACTGCCACGTCACTGCTGCGGGGGTAGGGGTTGTCCTCCATTGCGCAACATGTCACAATATTTTAAAGTTTTTTCTGCAAAATTTATGGATAAATGTGTGTATATTCCTTTTATGAAAGTGTTTATGACACTATTCTTTAACATTTATGTTCTAGAAAGATTTCCTCTGTTCACCTAGTTTTTGTAATATATAAGAAATAAGTTACTGATAAAAAACACACATACTTCTTTTGCCTGGGGTTTTCTTAAAATATTGTGTACAGAAATAATGAAATTGTTTCTATGGCGCAACATTCTGNGCCTGGGGTTTTCTTAAAATATTGTGTACAGAAATAATGAAATTGTGGCACAACATTCATTTGAATTTATATTTTTTTAGCCAAAACATTGTGACATCACACACACATTTTCTGCAGAGATGCTGTATTATGATTCTATACTTTAAACAGTTAATGCATATCATTTTATGCACTGAAGACATGACTGGAAACAACTGTAATCATAGATACTCGTAACTATATGCAATACAAATCCAGTGGTAGTCACCTAGCAGTGAGACCACAGACAGAAAAATGCATAAAACTGGGAGATGAAAGATCTTCATATATAAGATTACTTTTGTAAAATGTGTTTCCATCTGTCCTTGCTACTTACATCAACCCCATGATGACCAAGCCCTGCCAAGAACTTCCCACTAGAAATGCCAAGGCTGCATGAAGGTAAATGCAGTTGCACAGAAAAACCCAGAATACTTTCACAGATTACCTTTAAAGGATAGCAGGTGTTGATATTCTGGAAGCATGCTCTTTTCTCTAAAGATTGGTATATCATATTGATGCCAGGGAGAGTCCATACCTGTCCAGTATTTGATACCTCAGTGTATAAAAAGTAGTTTGATGAATTTATAGTTTGTTTATATTTAGTACAGCATAAAAATTAGTTTGATAGATTTTTAATTTGTTTTGTATTGAGTGGAAAGGTTGTTCAAAAGGCAGAGGTTGTGAGAAGTTGGTGGAGAGCCATGCATTACAGGTCCTAGCCTTAGCTCACTTTGGCATGGAAGTTCCTTCCTCTTATGTATGGTGATGGATGAATGTCGCGTCTTTCCCATGTAAATTCTATTCCGTTATTGCTCAGGCTGGCAGATCATGGCAGATCATTTGTAGAATTTTTGTGTATTTATGTCTCCTGCTTGTCCCTTATTCTCCCTGCTGTTATAAGCATTTGGCTACACTGATAGAAAAGCATGTGTTAACATTTTAGGCTTCTTGTGTTTTTATTTTGTGTGAGAAGATTTTGTGACCACTATATGTGTGCACACACATGTCCGTGTAAGTGTCTGTGTGTTTGTTTTGAGAGATAGGATTGTAATATGAACATGACCAAAAGTTTATCAGAAACTGCATATTATTGCTGGACTGTGTAAATTTGGCAGTAATTTTTAAGGTGATAATAGAACAGCAGAACATAGTGGAATTTTATTGCTGGTACTAAGCAGCTACTGTGCATGAAAGGAAGTTGATGAAGTGTCAAAATGAATTTAAAGACAATTTGGTGTCACATAGATTTTCCTCGCTCTGATTATCAAAGACCCTGAGAGCAATATATGGAAAACATAGTTGGTACAACCCGGTTAGTGGCAGAAATAGTGCATTAGAAATACAGCAATACCTCGCATAGTCTGGCTTCAATCAGTCCGGATTCACTATAGTCCGGTTTAAAAAATTATTACACAAAATTATTTTTAATACATAAATGATCAGTTTTTTCCTTTTATACAGTCAAGTGTCTTTTTGTGCAGTTTATTTTTATGTGGTTTTAAAGTTATGTGATATGATACATATTTCAATTTTTTCTGGGGTTCCCCATTGTATATGTATGTACCTGTGCTTGGGTCATTCATTCTTGAGCTCTAGCTATCACTGGAGGAGGTGGGGAGAGCACTACTTTAACAGAATTTTGGAAGAGCTACAACATCAGAAACGTTATCAAAAATATAGGCGAAGCATGGCATTAATTAACATCAAGCAATATGAGGGCAGTATGGAAACATATCATACCACATTGTGCAAATGATTTCATTGGTTTTGAAACTCATTTTGCTAAAGTCACTAATAACATAGTGGAAATTGGACAGCAGCTTGGTTTCAATGAGTTAGATTTCATCAACGTAATTGAGTGCATCAAATTTAACACTAATTAACTAGATAATGAAACACTTATTAATATAGATGAAGAACAGGAGGACAGCTTAGACAACGACAACTGTGTTGAAGTGCCTGCACGAGAATTAACAGGTGAACGACTATAAAAAATTATTGGAATGGTTGGAACCTTGTCATAATATATTATGGAAGTTGATCCCAATATTGAACATAGCCTTACAATTCGCCGAATGATAAACAATGCAATTCGTTGCTGCAAAGAAATATATGAAGAGAAAAGGCCAAAGAAGAAAAATGTGCAGGCATCAATATTGCAATTTTAGAGAATAAAAAATGAATTGCAAAAACATGAATTTTTTAAAATTATTTCTAATAAAGACATTTGAATTTATTAATCACGTTTTATTTATTGAAAAAACGGAGAATTTCTTTTTGAACCAATTATCATTTTTTGTATGTATTTAGTTCCTCGATTAGTCCGGTTTCAAACAGTCAGGGATATTGGCAGAACCGATTACCCAGATTATGCGAGGTATTGCTGTAGTGCATTTTTAAGCTCATACACATCTGTACTGAAACACCTACAGCATAAAAGTGTCAGTCTGCCCATTCATCTATATGATCAACATGTGAACATTAGTAGAAGTCACTAGTGAGTCTATCATGATCTGAGTCCCTTCTGAACTGAAAGTGGTATTGTGTTTCTACTGAGAGGAATAAGATATTCAGCCAAAGGTCATGGATGTAGCCCCTTTGCCTAAAATGTTCCTGTCAGTACAAGATGAGCCTGTAGTAGATGAAAGAGAAAGGGGGTACTGTGTAACAAAAAATGCAGCCTTAGAATGTGAACATTTAAATAACATTTTCCTCAGTCTCTTCAGTTACATGCAGTGGGATGTAAACTGTATGCAGTCCATGTCCCTACTGCTACATTATCACAAACCACCATTGCTTGACACCATTTGTTGACAAATGCTGTACAAGTGATTGACATTGAGTCAATCTAAGAGCTTTGTCAATGTTAATGTGTAAACACTAAGCTGATCTAATCACCTGATGGTGTTCAGAGTGGTAATGTGCATAATTCTCTTTTCTATGGACACTGTGCAGTTAGAATAGTTGTAGAGTTATGATCTGTTGCAAAAAAAAAGTGTGTTCAGTACATAACGGAAAATGTCTGTCTGGTCATAGAAGCTGATGGCAATAAGTTCCAGATGAGACAGGGTCTGATGGTAACATATTTTGGTGTATAGACCTGTTGTAGGCAGAAACAATTAGTACAGCCATTGCTGTGGAGTAGGCAAATAAACAATAGTGTTATGCACCTTGTTTCTAGGCAGTGGATCAGTAAACACATTCCCACTGCAAAAATACACACACAACAATAGAATTACTGTTGGAAACAGTGTTTTCTACTTGGTCTGTACAAAATGGTAGTAAGGAAGACAATTGGGGTGACCCAGTTATCAGTTAAAAGCCTGTGAAGAGAAGACTAGAAGGTTACTGTGTAATGACCATCAGCCTGGGAGTTGAGACAAGAGTTCATCATGGGAGGCTGTGAAGATCAAACCTGAGGACTTGAAGCTGAAGAATCTCAGCTGTTAGAAGCCATTGCCATGGAATGGCTGATAAAGGTACAGCAGGCTGGAAAAGGCTTAATGGGTGCCGTGCTGATTTGTGAATTGTGGAGATTAGTGGTAACACTGTTATTACTTGTAGCTCTGAGTGGTGTGTATAAGTGGTCAATAAATCGTTCCACCAATCTATACCGTCTCTATTCACACATCCCTAAATTGTGACAATCTGGTGTCATAAGTTGGATCAGAATGCATTTATGGGATTGGATTTGAAGTCATTGCTGGGTTGTCATCTATGTGACATATAACCATGGCTGACTCGACAGTGCTGCTAACCACTGTAGCAAATATCCTCTCTCAAACAGATGAACGCCAGTCAGGAAAAGGTGAAAGCCAAGCTGGGCTCAAATCCAGAAGAAATTAGGGCGAATCAAGAACTCCTGAAAGAAGAAATGCTGCCCAGGATGAACACCAGCCAAGATGGATGTCTGAATAGCAGAAATGAAGGCATGGCAAAAAGAAATGATCACCTGCCAAGAAGCAATGGAGGCCTGTCAGGAGAGTAAGGAGCCAACCTCATTGGAAGTAGTGTTTGTAGCAGTGCATGAGGAGGTCCCTAAAGAAGAGGCCACAGTGGAATCTTTTGGAGGGCCAAAGAAAAAGACCCAGGGCAATGCTGAGTCCCAGAAGAATTTGGCCACCGTCTGCAGAAGGATGACCCACCATGCCATTCCTGCATGACATGAGGGACAGGGTTATAAAGGACCGATGCTTGAGAGGTGACAACGGATGTGTCATGAAGGCAGCAATAGAATAAGGGACCGAGACGTTAAGGAGCAACTACATCAGAGGACTGAGACGACAGGCAGCACTAACATCAGAGGATGAAGCAGGAGACTGGAGCTATGTCTGAGAAGCGTGAAATCATTATATGAGGCCTGCGAACAAACTCTTGAGTTTGAGATGGCAAATCAAATAATCAGTACTTCCATTAGACTGCGGAAAATAAATGTCAGAACATTGTGGAGGGGTCAGCCCCCTCTGAAATGAAAGGAGACAGCACACCAAGTTAGGAGCCATTAATGTAAGAGCACTGACCATTCTTGGAACTGTTGCCCTCAGTGATCGGAAAAGCAGGATGATTGTGATGAACCTTGACTGGCTCATGCCCTATCAAGGAGCCACTCAGGAAAAGCGGCCTTAAGGAGGGAGCAGTAGAAGTGGTTGGAGAGTGAACACCACTATTAACCGAGCCACGGGGTGGAAGGTAAGACCAAGCACAGATGTCACAAGCACAGCCCTTGGGCAAGAAGAAATGGTGATACACCTGTAAGCTATTTGGGACGAGTGGCCTTACAGAGGGAGTAGTGTGGTGTATAGACCCATTAGTAGGCAGAGACCTCAAAACAAACGAGTAGAGCCATTGCTATGTAGTACTCAAATAAACAACAGTGTTATGCAACCCATTTCTAGGCAATGGATTGGTAAACACATTCCCATGGCAACAAATACACACACCACAAAAGAGTTACTGTTGGAAACGGTGTTTTCTACTTGGTCCGTGCATAGTGGTTATAAGTAAGACAACTGGGTAAGCCCAGTTAGTTTTCAGTTGTCAGTTGGAAGTCGGCCTGTGAAGAGAAGACTAGGAGGTTGGTGTGAAATGGCTGCTAGCCTGGGAATCACTTAGTTGACACAAGTTCTGCATGGGAGGCTGTGAAGATCAAACCTGAGAGCGTGAAGCTGAAGAATCTCCTCTCTTAGAAGCTGTTGCCAGGGAACAGCTGGTGAAGACAAAGAAGGCTTTAAGAACTTAGTGGGCGCTGTGGTGATTTGTGAATTGTGGAGATTAGCAGTAGCACTGTAAATACTTATAGTTCCAAGTGGTGTGTATATGTGGTCAGTAAATCCATCCGCCAATCCATGCCGTCTCTAGTCACACACCCTTAAATTGTTACATTATAGTTACAAGACATCTATCATTCAGATTAATATAATCCCTCATGCATAAATAATTTATATGACTTTAGTTGTCAGCAAAGAGTTCCAAGGCTTCCTGTGCTGTGGATAAAGTTGTCTCAACTGTAATCTGGTGGTATCTGGTTTGTATTTCCCCCAAATGGTACCTGACTCCTCCCCCAGTCATTCACAATTGTGCTACCATGTCACCTTTGATACTACATTACTGCAACAATTTATGCAAATAAAAATAGGCCAAGAACACAACTTTTTAGCCTTCTCCCATGCTATTCACAGTCATTGTACTACACCACTCTTGACACTTCATAACCGTAGCAGTTGACATAACTAAACTAAGCCAAGAACACTGCTTTCCGAAGTAATTTAAATGGACAATCTTTCACATTTCAGTCTTTAAATCATTCAAGTGTGTGGATTAGTATATTTTCTTTTATGTGGTGATGGTTTTGAAATACATATTTAACACAGCTCCGTGTACACACAAAATAAATGGTACTGTTCACATATTGATATTCTCTTTGTTTCTTTTTCAGATTTTCAGAAATGCAGCCTTACATCACAGCAAATTGTTTTGAATTGACCTTTAGTTTTATGTACTACTCAAACATACCTAAGTAGAAAAGTATAGTACTTGTAGATCACCTTAAACTTTGTGTCTGATATCAGTGAGGGTTATGAATTACATTGTTCAAAAATAGAACTAGATACACTGTGTCATTGAACCCAGTGGATGCCTGTGAATATTTTATATGTTTAATCATCTTATAATTCAGATATGACTGTATTTCTTTATTATCCAATATTTAACATTTTTTAAAAACACTGAATGCAAGATGAATTGACTGTTACTTGTCAAGGATGAATCAACTTCAAGTGGCCATATATTCTCTGATCCAACTGTACTTCTTAATTCCCTATTCTGTTTGAAAGATTATACTAAATTAGCATTTATCTTCATTATTGTCATGCTATCAATAACTGGAATTTCTCTTTGGGTGCTAAGGCTGTAGACATGGATTCCTTCACAATAAAGATGAAAACAATAAATACATTCCTTTTCATTGCCAGGCAGGCATCAGTCAGTACTTTGGAAAAGACTGTAGCTTCCATTTTTATGATTTTTAACATCTTAAGGACCGGCGATTTAAATATTTAAATCACCCTGGGGTCGCCATTATTAAACCTACTATCCTAACTTGTGCACTGTTTACTTTAAAAATTAATATAAAATCTCCTAATTAATTTTATGAGCTAAAATTTTTGGAGAACACTTACCACTGCTCCTAGAAGTGCTTGAGGGTGTGATATTTCTGGAAACATTCCCCTTTGTGGAGTGGCTTTACACGGAACTTGCAAATGTAGACATACTCCTTTTTTGTGTACTGTGCAAACATGGCATTGCCTAGAAGCGGCTTCCCCTTGGAATGTTCACTCTTCACAGTTTTCACGAGGGTATGTTTCCACATATCACCCAAGAGTCACCCTGGGGGGGAGTTGATGGGCCCGGACACACTAAGTCTGTGTCTGACCCTGGTTCTGCCACCACCATCTGGTCTGTAGCCCAGGTCTTTGCCACATTCATCAGAAATGCTTTGTATTTCAATTTTGAATCAGGGTTTAGATTTTTGTGATTTTTTTTTAGATTCTTTACTGTCTGTGGCCGCAATTCTTTGTTCTCCCCTGTCACTGCCCCTCTCTGAATCACCATGACTATGCGTCTCAGAAGGCAGGACAGCTAGCTCATCGGAGAAGAATATGTCCTTGATGCATACTCCCCACTTACTACAGGCTGATACATACAGCTTGAAGAGCATCAAAGCATTTTCGTTTATAGTGGCTTAAGAAAACAGTGAGGTCAAGTTACTGACAAGTAAGCAAACATTCCAGAGTTTTATTACGCCATTGCGCAACTTGGTGGCGTCAGAGCAAGGTATAGTGTGTTACAACCTAACGTATCCTAAAATCATATCATGCGACCGGTCCGCCACGTTTAAAATGCAAAAGCATGATATCATGCGATCGGTCCTCAATGTATTAAATAAGGGAACATGGCGATACTGAGTGGCTGCATAGAGTTCTGTGTGCCCAGTGTGAAAAGAGGTACATTCTGATTGTAACCATATTTACCTTTTATTTTTTCTCCAAATTTTTTTATATAGTGACACTTTCAGTAGCTCTGATTATACAGTAATCCCTTCATTGCATGATTTTCACAATACACAGCTTGTATTTAGACCCCATTTTGTGTAATGTGGGGTTGAGTTTTAATTGTTTATGAGTTAGCATGGGTGCATGTGCATATCTGTGTGCAACCAAAGTCGCAAAATATCCACACCCCCTGTCCAGCCTCACAGAGATGTCGGTGATTCTTGCTGTGAATGCATGCATGTCAGATAGTGCAACACACCGTTCACAGACTCAGAATAACTTACTTTTTCTATGAAGTGCTGTATTTTGCCCTGGAATATGCCTTCAAAGTGTAAATGTGGTGATGTTACTACAAGAGGGGGAGAGACAGTTAGAGAAGTGATGACTCTAGAACAGAAAATCAGAGTGCTTGATAAACTAGAGAGTGGTGAAAGTGTAGCAACTGTTAGATGCTTTCATATCAGTGATTCTTCTGCCACAAATATTAAAACTGTCAAGTAACCATTAATGTTTTTATTGAAGCAAGTATGTCAGAGTTCAGGAGTTACTTAATGGAACTCATGATCTGTTAGTAGGGAGAACTGACAAAGCACTTTCTTTGTGGATCACAGGCATGGCACAAAGCTTCTGCAAATTTATGTTCAGAGGCCAGTTCCCCTTACTCATATATTTTCCAGTAACACCAACCCCTTGCACAACACCGCTATTTTTTAAGAATATTACTCTATATTAAACGGGGGATTGCTGTATAACATTTGATGCTAGAATAGATTGTGAATAATGAATAAATATGGGTAGAAGCAGTCATCTCCTAATTTGGGATACTCTCTTGGTGTTTGCCTGATGGGATTGAGAACAGTCATAAAAAACCTGTCAGGATAGCAGTTCTCTAGGCTGAGATTTTAACCTGTGCCCTCCTGAGTACAGAGCAAGAGTGCTACCAATTTGGTCATGAGGTTTGGTAATATGAGGGATATCCGGAAAGTAAAGATACAAGCCCAGTAAAAATACAAGTGATTTTTTTCCTCACAAATTGCAGTACTGCCATGTGAGATAGGAACTGTATGACAGGGCTGAGTTTGCTGGCCACAGTCATGGCAACATTGTACTTGCAGTATGTGTTTAAATTAGCCATGTTGATTCAAAATCCCGCCAAATTTGAGGTTCATGCACTAATTTTATTTCTTCATGCAAAAGGAGAAACTGATGCTGAAATTCATCGCTAACTTGTTTCTGTTTATGGCATAGATGTTATGAACAGGCAAAACGTGGTAAAATGGTGTCGTGAATTTGAAATTGGTAAAAGTGATATCATGATGAAATAAGGAGTGGAAGGCCATCCCTCATCACTGATTAAATCATCCCAAAAATTTATGAAAACATACGTGCTGACAGACGTTTAACCATTGATGAACTTCATCAGCAATGTCCAGAAGTGTCGAGAACTGTCCTCCATGGCTAAGAGAGCAGGCAGGAGATTTCTACAATGCTGGAACAAAAAAAAACTTGTTCCCATGCTCACTAAGAGCATTGTGATCCATGGTGACTATGTTGAAAAGTAAATAAAGGTGTGTTGTGAAAGTGCTACAAGTGAATAAAAAATGCTCTACAAATATTTTCTGGACTTTGTATCTTTACTTTCCGGATATCTTTCATAATATAAAGAAGTGGGTCAAATTTCATTTAAAATTTTACAAACCAGATGTAGTACAATAATGTGGCATATCTATGCCAAGCAAGAATCGTTGAGCCACAGAAATCTGTAAACACGGTGATTAAACAACAAGGAAAGTGGTGTTCTCCTTGCTAAGCCTCACCGCGCCTGTTGCTAGGCAGCTCTGCGGTAAACACGTCTCAGCAGCAGCTAATCAACTCGTTCCTGAGCAACACCTCTATAAATGCAACAGTGGATCAAACTGTGTTTTCCGCTTGTCTGTTCAATTGTTTATAGGAGACTCCCTGAGAAATTAGTCAGTTCTCGGTGCGACAGCCGCAGAAGGTTCATATTGTGATTGGAAGGTTTTATGAGTGTGATAGTGATAGTCAGCGATAGTGAGTGATAGCTGAGAAGTCAGACAGTGAAGACTTATTGTGTGTGAATTAGAAGACTGTGTGCTGTGGTGCAATGATATCTGGAGTGATCTGAAATGCTAGTTTCTGTGTTGAGATCCATTGCCAGGAGACAACTAGTGAAGACAGAGAATCCTAGTGCATGTGCAACGGTGAACTGAAAGCATGTACATCAGCGATAGCGCTGTATTGCATGTATTTAAGTGTAATCAAGAGAGACTGTGTAACCAAAGTGGTAATAAATCCAATCATCGAACTAGAACCCGTCATTCTCGTCATGTGTACCACCCTACATGTGACATTTTTGTGTCAGAAGTTGGGGGCTCAAATCATATTTGATTCTTCAGCAGTGGTTACAACTGAAAAGACATGACAATTTGTTGTCACTAGTCACACAGCCATAAACTCATGACAACTGGTGTTAGAAGTGGTAGGATTTATTCCATTATTAGATTGATGACTGAATTGTGTATGTACAGTGCTGTTATATGAAAAATGGAGGTCCAAAAATAATAGAAATTCTTGCAGAAATGGAAGAAAAAAATGGAAACCAATAGAAAATCCTATGAAGACATGCTGGAAAAGATAAATGGCAACCAAAAAAATAATTGAGGCTGACTGAGAAGATCTAAAAGAAATGATGAACACCACCCAAGAAAATATGAAAGAAATCAGTGAAGACATCCTCAGCCACTTCAGTCCAGTTCAGTATTACGCTTCCAAGTGAGGTATTGCTTTCAGTTTTTCCAAACTAAATTTTGTGCACATGTCTTGCTTCCCCCATTTAACTTAATGACATACACAACCTATCCCAGTCAACAGAAACAAACAGATATTATCTGGCCAGTGAGTCATATTTCTACTTGGGATGTGCTCAGTTCATAAGAAGCCAATTAAAAATGGAATTAAACAAATACAGTGTTCCTGCTACAGCAATTCAAGAGACCGGATGGAATGTGAGGAAGCACGGGCAGTAATGCATTTGGTCCACAGGATTTAGAACCATAAGGTGACTCAGCGACACAGGGAAGTCCCACATTATAAAGGCCATATAATGAATACTGACAATCTGGTATCTATTCATATTCTGGTTCAGTAATGGAAAGGTTTATATGGCAAAAATTAATAATATATCTTAAAGAAATGCACTTACCATTGAAAATCTTGTGTTAATGTTCACTAGTTCAGTACAGGTAGGATTATGTGGCAAAAGTAACGAAAGGAATACACCTGTAACAATAAAAGTGAATAGCAATGTAACGAAAATGAAATAAGTAAAGAAATTACATAAATAGTTCTACCCTCATTTGATCCTGATATTGATTCTGCTTCTCAGAGTTTCACGCTGAGGTGGATAACCTGAACTTTGCAAGTCAGTTATAAAGTAATGCCTCTTCATTCTTACCTACACACAAACACAAATGTGTGTTAGAAAACAATTTCCCACATAGTTCTCGATTGAAATTTAATTACTTGAAGATAACAACAGTAAAGAACCAAGGGCATGTCAGTGACAGGATAGGAATACAAAGGATATTTTGGTAGGAAAAATTGAAGGATCTGTTGGGGATACAAATAGAATATTTAGATGGATGTTGGGAGAAATGGGGCCAAGGGGGCAGGGTGTGGACAGGATTCTTTTATTATTATTTTTATTGGAGTGAGAGGCCATTTGGTACTTTGGCTAGTTGTAGCTTATTGTACCAATCCTAGATGATGGTGATTGTAGAGCAGTTGGTGGAACGAAGATTCGCAGGGGAAATCGAAGTACACTCAACTCCCGATTATCCAGGGCCAGATAAACCGGTTTGCGGCTTAACTGGGTCCTT